GTATGACTTGACTAAGTGTTTATAAATACACGGACTAAAAAAATCTTGAGCGACCAGGATTCGAACCTGGGTTGTCGCGGCCACAACGCGAAGTACTAACTACTATACGATCACGGCCAGCGCTCTCACATCGATTGGGGCCGAAGTAAATGTGTCAATAGGCTTCCAGTCTTGTCGGTATCTTTAGAAATCATGTCCTCAGTTTTATGGTCCTTCGGGCGTAATTAAATTAAGCTAATTACGGTCTCTAATTGCTAGTTTTTATGATTGCATCTGAAATTGTTAGGCGAAAGTAGCCTGCCTGCCAAATTTCAGAGCTCTAGAGCAATCAGAAGTGGGTTAATTTTCGATGTCAATTTTAACAACAAACATCCAAACAAACAAACAAACGCGAAGCTGAGTTAAGAAAAACGTTATAATAACAGGGGATGGGAACTCGGGCTATAGACATGATTTTTAATCCATTTTAAATACTTAAAGTTTTAAAAATAGAATAAAATCTCGTAGACAAATTAATTGCACACCAAGTGAACGCAAATAAAAAAAGCGCATAATAGTGCGCAATATTATTAGTACTTTTAAAATTTACATTAGTTTTTTGAGAAATCGGAAGTAGCGTAAATTACTACTTCCAGTCAACGGAAATTACTCAAAATTTTACAGAAGGTAGAGAATTAGATCTTTTACTTACATGTGAAATTTCATTTATCTATCTGAAATAGTACTCAAGTTATAGGCTTTTAAAAAATTCAAAGTAGGAAAAGTACCACTTCCGGTTATCGGAAATCGCTCAAAAGTTGATACGGATCTACGATTTTGATAAAATACTTATATATGAAATTTCATCAACCTAGCTGTAACGGTACTCAAGTTATCGTGTTTACACACGGACAGACACACACACAGACACACACACAGACATACGGACAAGATTGCAAAATTATGTTTTTCCGTATCAGTGAGGTGTAAAACGTCGAGATTTGTAAAAATCTCGATTTTTTTTTTTTTGCACGATTACAATACTTTCTCTATACTACGTATATACGAGAAAGTAAAAAAAGCTGAAACCCCATCTCGTATTTTTATTCAATATCCCAAAAAAGGTGAAAACGTATATATTCTAGAATGTTTTGAAGCATGCCACAAAAAAGCCAAAAGCATAACGAACATATTTATGCACGTCCCAAAATGCCGAAAACCTCAGCAAAAATCTATTATTTTCGCAACTTCTCAAGTTAAAATAAACTCGGCTTGGAAAAAAAAATTCCTATCGCACCAAACGATGTCTGAACCGGCGTAAGATTTCTTCCGAACGAAATATGACGTGTGTGTAATGAGGAAAGAGAAAGAAAACTAAAAGAATTTCCAAGCTACCTGATAAAAGGATGATTAATGTGAACGTTTTATTCTGCGATGTTTCACATTGGGCTTCCAATCTGGGGGTCGTGTTAACAGTTCGCCACGCCAAAGCCGATCAAGTTTTGGTCGAGTTTCAACAATCCGTGCGTACATTTGTGCTACAAGTTTGGCCAGGTACGCCGTGAGCTGTACACCTGCCTGTTTGAACGCCTACTCCACAGACGAGGCTATCGTCAACAGCGTTGTTGTGACACCCGATGATGGTAGCACAGCTTCACGGCTGGCTAATTTCGTCCAAGCAAATATTAGTCCGCTACCCGGGTCGTCACCCGTGTTCATCCGCGGTTAAAGTCAACAAAGCATTCACTTACCGGCGGAGTGACGCGCGCACAAGCTTCGTGAGTTAGGTTGAAAGACGGGGGGAGGGCGGGGATGAAAAAAAAATCGACGGGTTATGTTTATTAATGTTTGTTGAGTAATGCGCGTGCCTTTTGGCGCCACTATTGTAGTTAACGAGTCTCCTGTTGCTGGCGAGCATGTTAGCAGACGATTCATCTTGAACTCAGCAGACGTTCTTCCCATCATGTTCAGCTAATGGTTGAGCCCCCATGCTCTCTTGTCTAGCTACATCCTAGATCTAAGACCTGCTGATTGAAAACTGCTTGTCGCCCTGGCTATTGTGTCATAAATTAGCGGGTAAGACAAACTTAAGACAGTTAACTGGCTGCTATGGTAACTTAGTTGGGAGATGTTACTTTAGTTTTTTTTTCTTTTTATAAATCGAATACTTGATAACAACTTGACCTGGCTAAATAGGGGCTATATTTAATTGATAACTTAGAGATTTTTAAACAACCATTTTAGAAATAAACTAAATGGCATCTGCATTATTCTTTTCGTATCTTACAAAAGTATCTTAGATATATTATTAACTTATAACAGTGAAAAATATATATTGAAATAAAAAAATAAAAATTAAGACATGGACGCTTACGAAACGAACAAAAAACATGGGAAAAAATCCTGGTAGGAAATTCCACCCCACCCCCAACCCCCACCCTGATCTCTACTATCCACACATGCTTCCTGCCCCCTGCTCTAAATCTCTGTCAATAGTGCCATGCACGCTGGCCCATTACTGCCCCAGACAAGGCGTGTGGCCCGAGCTAGTGAAAGAGCCGTAGCAGGGCCATTAATCCTGGCCAAGGGCGCTCTAAAATGTGAACACGGGCCGCCCGGTGTAGAAACATCCACCACCATGCATGTCTGTTTGCTTGTACAAAGGTCAGGCCGTCAAAGCATTGGCTGGGCTAAACCCCGGTGATTGTTTTTTATTTTCTCCCACAGGAGATTTTCACTTCCCGTCCTTTCTGGTTTGCATCAAGTGAAAAATGGCGGGAGCGATGAAACAACAGGACGAGAATGTTAGCGTATACAACGTGATGTCAGCTCAACCTGGGGCTGAGCTCTCCACTTATGATTGTCACATTTGGTTATGTGGGGTTAGAGTTCACGTAAATAGCAAATAGTGGCTGGCCACCTCATTGGTTTCTAGCAGGAAGACGGTAGACTATATCTACTTTATAAAGACTGTTTCGTATTATGAAAGTAGATTCCGTACGTGACCGATCCTACAATATTGTAAACATTTGCTCCCCAGATTAATGATTCTTCCTTCTTAATTTAAATATTGATAGGGATTTCCTCCAACACAGATAAGTATTACTTGTAAACGTGTTATGCGCCTAAGTCCCGTTGACTCCGATTTCAGTCTATTTTGTGGATTTGCTTGTTAAGAACAATCAGCAAAACAGCAGTTGTTTGATTTTGGAGTTTTCTCTCCTACACGAGTTGTCATCCCTGTCATCTCTCCGCGGATCCGAACTTGGGACCTATAAAATTAGCAACCATGCGCTCATCCGCCCGACCATACCACTCCCCCCCCCCCATCCCCAATTTCAAAATGGACATCATTCGAGAGTACGTGTATCGATAGTGAGTGCGAAATTCCAGTATAACTACTATAGCCCTATCTCTAAAACCGCATGCATTTTTTAAATGTATGGTTCATGTAAAATTTGACATGTGGATGTGTTGAAATTTGCCCAGATTTTATTAACGCTGTTACAAAATGCCAAAATTTTTTTGATGAAGTTTTTATACCCCACGAACTAGTGCTTTACAAACTATTTTTGAAAATTATGACAGTCTTTATTTTTTAGTAAATACGCCTAAACTGCATGCTCTAAATTTGTTTTGCGTTATTCGGGTGATTTTGTAAACAGCTTAAGACAAATATTTCACAATATCACGTCTAACTTCCGTTTTACGTATTTCACAATGTTTTTCTATGTTCAAAACTCTTTACTTTTTCAATAAAGATCTTCCGTTTTCTCAACGTAGATCGTCGGCTTATTTAAGATTTCCCCAAAGAGCCAGACTAATAACGTATGCCGTTGTGTGTTTTATTTGTTTGACAAATGAATGACGTGCCGTGATGTACAAGATAATTGCTCCATCGAAAGACATAATTGTATGTATTCTAGCCAGCGCTATCATAGCACGGCCATTTCTTTTTACTCCGCTAAACTGGCTCAGTCTCATAAATCTATTCTCATATTTAGTTCAGTTGTTTTTTAAAGATTTTAAAAAAATAATCAACTCGACAAAAAATGAAGAAAAATATTTTTTATTTAAAAAAAAAACAAGCAATAATCCGGTTTTATTTGCTTTGGCGAAATTTTTTTTTAGCGAAAAACGAAAAGGGCTGTGCAGTTCAGATTGCTGAAAATGCGAATTTCACTCCGGCCTATGCTGCCGGCGAGCTAACGAACCCTTAATCGGTCCATACAAGCGTTAGAGATGTCAAAAGCGATTTGACAAACCAGTCAATCGGCACCGGTCTAGCGCGAGTGCCGGCAGGTCTATCTCCCCATCTCACGTTCCCGCCTCGCCCAGTAATAGATTCCCGAGTCGGGAAAGAACAAGGAGGATAACCCGCGGTGAAAGCTGTAAATTCTACAAGAGTTTTGCGTTTCAGGTGAGCGGGTGTTTGGTGCTATAGACCTCAGTGTTTGTCTCGATGAAACCCTCCACTCGGTACTTACCTTAGCTAGTGATGAATGGCGAACACGTGGTTCGCACAGGAAGTGACGCTACCTGAACTCTTTTAGTTGTGGAAACTACTTTCTGAAAACCTAATCTCGGTGCTTGTGGAAACAATATCTAAGGCTCGTCATAACTCTTTTTAAACACGTCGCAAGTGTGAACACTAGGTGTTGAACGCCGACACACATAATAAACCTAACGCCCCCACAACATCTTTTAGTAAAATAAACATACGAATTACCACGGGAATGTTTTTTTTAATTACATACAATTAAAAGGGTTGTTATTGACTTTCAAATCTCGTTTTAAAAAATGTAATTACAGCAATTTATAAAACATCTTACTTCCTGCATTTTGAAATAAATTGTATTGATTTTATTTCCTCAGAGATGTATATTTTGTTTAGTTTAAATTGCGTAAAAATTGGTCTCATTCAAATAAAATCGTTTTAATGTAGCTTTTTGAGTATTGTTAATTACATTTAATTTGTTGAACATTTAAGCTAACTCGTACCTTTCTGTTTCTACTTACAGATGCATCATGGGCCAGTAACATAGACTTCATGTACCACCCTGAGCGAGCCTACCTGAGTGAAATACGGAGCAGTGTCAACGTGTCTCACTACTCCAACGCCACCCACGTCATCCTACCCACCCCCCGGGTGCCGTCTGAAGGGTGGTCGGATCGCATGACCATCAGCATCACCTTCGTCAACTTCTGCTTCGCCCTCATCTGTTTCCTCGTCCGCTACGCCTCCGTCTTCTGGTACACCAACAAACTCATGACCGCCGTCTTCGCCCTGCAGCTCTTCGGTATGGTGCTCAACTCCATCTTCAGCTTCAACTGCTTCTCCACGCTCTACTGCGTCTGCTACAACAAGAACCTCTTCCCCAACGTCCACCTTTCGCTAGGGTGTATGGTCGACCTGGTGCTATACCTCATCGGCAGCACGATCCTCATCCTCTCGACTATGACTGTGTTCGAGTACGGCTCGCATTACTTTCATGAAAAATTTAAAATCGTGGAGCGGCACCACAATCCTGAAAGCTACATCAAGGAGACGTTAATCGTCAACAGCGGGTGTCAAGGCTACATCCCGCATTCGTGCGCCATGGGGGCGCTGGTTGTGTTTGCTGTGTGTAAAGGCCCGCTACTCTACGAACAAGTTTCTTTAATGCGCCTGACCGGCGATCAGCTTCTCTTATCCGGGATTGTTTGCGAGGTTTGTTACATGGTTCTGTGGGTAGCGTTATGGTTTGGGTTAACTATCAAGCAACAGTGGAAGTTTAGGATTCTCGATTACGTCCCGCTGAAACAACCATGCCAGTTGTTATCAGACGACTGTATCGTCAAAACTAGCCAACACGGGTTCGGGGACCACAGCCAGACGGACAGCTTGACGCGGTCAAGACGCCTGAGTGGACGAGAGAGCTATCCCAGGTACTGCGATAACGGAGCGGCATTAACCGCCGGGACCTATGAGGACAACTACCATTCCGATATTTGCACGGACGATTCGGATTTAATCAACAACGCCGGGGAAGTGATTCTCGACTTGGACGGGAACCCCAGCGCCACCGACAGCGGTGCCAGACGACAAAGAAACCGCCGGCACGGCGGTCAACGCGTCACATTTGACGAGAAAGTCAGGAGCAGGCGCTCCCCCAGCAAGGAAAACTACACCCCCACCAGCAGCCTAACGCGGCAGGGGCACCCCGCCGCCTCACATCGTCACGATGACGTCAACCATCTAAATATAGTCGCGGATATACACAACACCGTGCCGTCATCACCCACAGCTCAGGGCGACAGTGACGTCATTCTGCGCAACAAACCCACGGACAACTCCACATTGACTCGTGAATACAGAAACAGCATTAGGAGTAAATGCGGGGAGTATTATTCCAGCTCCAACAACCTTTCCGGGTTCGAGGAAGCGGTCCTGGGAACGAGTCCCCCGGAGACTCTGACCACGCTTATGTCCTCTTTCCGGGACAAAGTTCGTGAGTCGTCAATAGCGGCCAGCACTTTTAAAGAACGTGAGCGGCACATGCTCGAACAGTTTGAGTACGTGGACCCGCCCCCTCCACCTATTATCGACGACCTGGAGAACGTCGAGACGGAAAAACGCCGCTGTATCGCCATCTCAGACGAGGACATCGGAAACCTCCGGCTGGAGAATTCCGGCATGAACATCCCCGTGGACCCTCGGGACACCAAGGACGTTTACTACAGATACGACGACAACATCAACGATTACCCCAAGACTTCGTCCTTGACCCGAAAAGGCAAACAAAAAAGTGAGGATGGACACCACAACACCGCCACATCTGATGTGAACGCGCCGCCTTTAATGGAAGACATTCACTCGGGCAAGACGAGAGTGGTGGTGGTCCCCAAAGATAGCCATCATCACCTGGTAGGTGGTAGAGTGGACCACCGGGTCTTGCACCTCCCTTCCCAACCCCGTTCCGTGCAGCTTTTCGTGTGTAAAAAGAACGACATCGGTCGACGTGACTCGGCTAATTACTCCCTGACCTCATCACAGGATAACTCCTCTAATGAGTCTGACCACGGTCAGGCTTTGTGTAGCCAAGTCTGACCTGCGGTGGTCATCTTGGGCATGAATCCATCAATCAAACCAGTCGACCGTAACCAGACTAACACGTGAACTGTGCATGTTAACAATAACTGAGTTTAAAGACCTGGAACATGAAACCACAACAGCTTCTCATACCTCTTGCATGTTAATTAATGTTACGGCATGTGTTCACTGACGTTTTCTTTACCTCATTGCATGGGTCCAATAACAATGTAATTAACATATCTAATGACTGTGATGATAACTATAACATGTGCTGGCATGTACTAAAGAACATTATATAGAACTTTATGGTAAGGAATATGTGGTCAACAGATTCCACTCGACTTGATATGTGGTCGTCTCTGCTGGGCTGTCTTCCCATATGTTTCCTGAACATGTTGACTTGTGTTGATGTTTGTTTACTAGAAATATAACGTAAAAGTGTATACAAAGTGTCTGTACGACTTTCTTTAAAATTGTACTTGTAATGTTTGAAATTGTTTTCAAGTCCCCCACTCTCTCCCCGTATCTCACGCCAACAAAGAAAAAAAAGCACTGCGACTAAGTATGGCTTTATTTTGTTTTTTTCTGCGCTAGATAAAAAATGTAGGAGAATAAGTTTCAATTCTCTTGATAATAAACATATTCATTATCTTAATTTGAAAGTGCATTAAAATTGTATATGTTCAGAAGATCAATCTGCGGTATTTTAAATAGGTTTTTAAGTTTCAACGGATATTTTTAACAATTTAAATGTTTCAGATTTTTTAAAGTTGTAAGGTGAAAATATTAAAATTACATCATTTTAAAAACACGAGTCCTAAAAACAAATACAGATTTTAACAATTAAAAAGTGTAGGTAGGTAGACAAAACAGTGTGAACTTTATCTAACAATTTGGCCAGATCCATTGCCAACATCCAAGCCTAATGTTTGAATATGAGTTGCCATTTCAGCAACAGCATCGTGTGTGTAACCCACTGCCCGTCTGAATGTTGGTTGTGTTATAATTAGCGGCCTGTGTCTTACTTTTAAACTAAACCGATAATCCTTTTTACTAACTTAAAATTAGGTATCTTTAATACATAAATACCACTCCCTTCTCTAAAGAATGCTTTAGGACTCAGTGGACAAAGTGATAATTTTTTTCAAAAAATAAGTTCCGACCTGTGTAATATTTTAATTGCTTCCCCTACACTATCCCTGTAAATTAGGGTCAATGATAAAAATACCCAAGTGGTTGGATTTAATAAAACGGTTTAAAAATACAAGTTGTTTCAACTTGAACCTCGTTTTTTCCCAAAACTATCAGTTCAGTATTTTCCCCACTGCGCCCTGCTTATAAATTATTTAACTGCCCGGTAAAATGTTCTTTTGTTCAAAATGCACAGAGCTTCATTTAACTTGTTTAGCTTCCGACCTCATCAACAGCCTAACCTTTAGCCGGTTATCATATTTTTATCGTTAATGCTCCACTACCCCCCCCCCCCTCCAATCCACACGCACCTTTTTATGAGTATTCACAGAGATCTCTTGTCCAACATTTCCGGTAGAGTTTAACATGAATTTAAATTGCTGGTGAATGTTTCATTCTGAGAATTAGTTCCCAAAATCACGTTTTATAAGTTCTCTTGTACCATATGCTTTTAATGTCGTAAAAAAAATTAACCATATGACATCACCCTAATGTGTCATTTCTTTGGGAACTGACATAGTTTTAAATTCTTCTCAAGGTAAATCAAAAACATTTGTTGATATCGACTTCAACAAAGATGTTGTTGTAGGTCATTGATTGATTAAAAATTCATTGAGACTGCATACGAAACAATTCACATTAAACATACTAACCAAGACTTAAGAAAAAGTCAGTGTAATTAATAAACCATTTTATGAAAACTGAGTAACCTGTGTTTATATAGGTTAAAAAACTTTACTAAGGGGTCATCCATAAATGACGTCACGCTTTTTATGACGATTTTTACCTCCCCCCTCCCCTCCGTCACACGTCGTCACAAAAAGCCAGACCCCCCCCCTAAAATGACGTCACACCTCAAACTACAACCCCCCTCAAAATTGCAGTTGAATTTTTTTTAAACATCGATATTTTTTCCAAAATCTTGTCTAAACTATTACAATTTATTAAAACAGTTATCTAAAACGCGAAATAACGTCTAAAATTCGTTTTCTAACATTGTTTTTTTATAATGCAAAAATGTGACGTCGCAACATCTGACCCCCCCCCCTCCCCCTCATCACACATCGTCACAAAATTACGGACCCTCCTCCCCCCTACGAGTGTGACGTCATTTATGGATGAACCATAAGAACACTGCCAGTCGTGTGTTTAGATCCATTCTGTGAACAGCCACAGTTTTATTCATTGCAAAGAGGGGGTGGGGGTGAGGCTATTTAATACGATCTTAGAATATGCTATACAGGGTTTCTTTCATACAGTATTTATCTCGAACGGGGCGGGGGTGAAACTTTCGGGGGATGGGTGGAAGGACTCTGCTTAAAGTATTTATTTTCTATATACATTAATCTTGTTTTGCAATGTTATCTTGGTGGTGGCTCGCCCCAGGATATCAGTGCCCCCCCCCCCCTCCCCCCTCACTGATAGATGCCGTAAAGAAATTCTGTTGTTATATTTTATTTAAATCAAACACTTTTTACAAATAACAATAATTAATTAACTGTATAGATTGATCGTTAAAAAAAACAGTCCCATTGTATGTTGCCCGGTGGTTGGTTTGGCCGTGAGATAACGAATCACTACCTCAACGAATCACTACCTCAACGAATCACTACCTCAACGAATCACTACCTCAACGAATCACTACCTCAACGAATCACTACCTCAACAGCTCAGTGTACGTGTTCATTTTTCCTGTAACATTCGAATGCGGTTTTTTAAGAGACAGTTTTTTTTTTTTAATTTACAGCGAGTACGACAAAACAGGAAACAGTAAACAAAAGTGTTAAGAACATTAACATTAATTACAGGACATCAATACAGTAAACACCGGGTTGTTTACTTTGTGGTTCTCATCTTGGTGGTGCAAGACAACCCCAGGGGTGTAAATGGCGTTGGGTAGAATTGGAGGCTCCCCTGTACAACACTTTCATTTTTTTCCCCCTTTTTACGAAGTGACGGCGGAACCTAGATTGTTAGCTATCAACAATACATACGTTTTTTGTGGGGGGGGGGGGGGGGGGGAGTTAAGATACGGTACGGATATTCTAACACATAATTGATAATATATGCGCATAAAAGATATGCCAAACATTATATGTGCATACCGGAAGGGTCAAACATGCTATATTCATAACGGACCAGCTAAACATGACATGTGTAGTACGATTAGGCTAAATTATATTACAGGTATTACCTTGGGACAAATATATTATAAGCATTAGCGGAAGGGCCAAAGGAATAATACACATATCATACGGGCAAAGAAACTATGAGCACAACAGATGGGCCAGACATGCATAAGTCTGACTTGGTACCTGATGAAATAACGTGAGAACCCCCGGTAATGATCTATAGTGATTATGACGAGCAAGGGTTGCGTGCTGACATAGATCAATGGGGTCCACGCAGTAACGTATGGGGCGATGGGGGGACGGTAACGTATGGCCTGTCCACCACTCGTCATTCAGATGGTGTTCTGTTATTTATCCGAGTTGACAAGTGGATTGTCACAATTGTCAGTTGTCTTAAATTATACAAAGACCTTGAGAGAGATTAGTAGTCTGTGAAAGGGAAAACACTAACATTAATCTTTTTTTTTTTGTAAACATTTAAACTATCCATTTCTATTTCAAGGGTTTTCATCTATTCAAAAAAACAAAACAAAAAAACTAAAATTTTAAAAAGAAAATTTAAAAAGAATCTACCAAGAATGCAAGGAAAAAAAAAAGCTTAACCACAAAAAACTAAATTAGATCTATATATTTTTAACAACCCAGAGTAAAAAAAAAACGAAAACTGGTAGCTTCTGTGTTTATGTGTAATTTTGAACTGCTCTTGCTTAGATAAAAAAGAAACGTTCACCCTTGACGTAAATGATAATATCTCAGCTTCATTTTACCCAAATGTCACGAGCGTTTCAAAACAAAAGCAATTTCTTAGGCCGGTTTTTTTTTTTTTTTTTTTTTTTTTTTTTTTTTTTTTTTTTTTTTATGCGGTAGCAAAATTTCCGACAAACGAATAAAGTGATCACAGTTCACCAATTTTGGCACTTAATTAATCTCTAGAGAATTGATTTTTTTCCCCATATGCTGTAGGAATTTCCTACTCACCCCCCCCCCCCCCCCCCCGCCTTTTTGACCCTCTGATTTGCCTGCGTTCGTGTGAAGGTTACGGTCACATCCATTGACACGCACACAATATGAAATGCGATTAGTTCGCATGACTGGTGCCAAAATTCCCATTCATGTTACACTATTTATTTAATAATCGGAAGAAAAGTGTGGATTGATGAACGCATGATATCTGTTTCTGTTTATTTACTGACACTACTAACAAATCTAACAAATGTGTGCTTTATTCAGAGTTTCTTCCAGGCATCTCTTGGGGGGGGGGGGGGGGGCTCCCCACAGAGGCGTAGCGATGGGGGGGGGGGGGGCAGGGGGGGGTACATATGTCCCCGGGCGCCGACCTTAGGGGGCGCCAAAATGGGTTGTAAAAACAAATTAAAATGTCATTTTAGCTGCATTTTTGCATTATAAATCGAAAGTTTGAGGGGGGGGGGGGTGCAAATTGAAAATTTGCTCCCGACGGGGGCGCCAAATTGAAAGTATGTCCCCGGGCGCCGGGAAGGGTCGCTACGCCTCTGCCTCCCCCCCCCCCCCCCCCGAAGAAATGGAATTTATACAGAAAATATATACTTTTAATAGTGTCCCGTCCCCCCAAAATATTTGAAGTGCCCCCCTCCCCCCCCCCCCCCCAGGAGAAAACAGTCTGGAAGAAACCCTGGTTTTATTGATACTGAAAAGACAACGCCCCTACATGCGTTACGGATAGTATCAAGGGTAAACCAACAAAGTAATATGATGGGGTTATCAAAACTTTTACATCGTTAGACGGTATCCATCAAAGACGTTACCTATTTTGGTATTGGTGGGGTGAAGTATAGAGTCGGTTTGCGTTTATTTGGCTAGTCTGTTCTAGAAAGTGACACATTTTGAAAACAAGTAGAGCTGCAAATTGTACACACATTCACAAAACTCTATTTAAAGCATGAGCGTTTTTTTTAAAGCCGTAAATAAGCTTAAAATAAATGTGATTTCTCATTAGATCGATTTAAAAGAGGTCAAAGCGAGTTCATGAACTTGTTTTAGTCTGGTGTTGGAGGTAAAACATTATGGGCTGAATATCGACTTTAGAGGCCTTAAGACTTCTGCCACAGGGCAGATCATCTGATCAAATTCCTGACACAGGGTGGGGATAAGCCATCAGCAGAGGCGTAGCGAGGGGGGGGGGCATATGTCCCCGGGCGCCGACGACCTCAGGGGGGGGGGCGCCAAATTGAAAGTTTGAGAGGGGTGCAAATGAAAGAGTTCGAGGGGGGTGCAAATCGAAAGTGTGAGGGGGGGGGGGTGCAAATGAAACGTTCGAGGGGGGGGGGGTGCAAATCGACAGTTTGTCCCCGGGTGCGGGGAAGGGTCGCTACGCCTCTGGCCATCAGTCCAAACTTAGGCCAAAATGTAGGGATCAGCCATAGATAAAACTCCGGCCACTGGGTAAGAATAGGCCATAGATAAAACTCCGGCCAAAATGTGAGAATGGGCCACCAATCCAAACACCGGCAAAAAAAAAATTTCGTCGGAAATTCAGACCTGGATAACAATGTTTACATTTTCATACATGGTAACTGGAAAAAAAAAACGACTTCCAAAATAACACTACATTTTTCACTTGTTATCCCATGGAGAAACTTTTGTTGCTGGTTGTCGTTATAGCAAGACTTTGAACATTATGAAGCCGTTTTAATTCTGTAAATAAACCGTCTTGACTGAATTAATGTTAAAGAAAGTGAAGTTCCCTTTTCAAACCTGGCGGTCTATAGGGCAAGTGAAGTTCACGTGGACTTAGGGACGGTCTACTGACTTGAACCCGGATTCGTACTCGAGACTTACGGGTTAGCAGTCCAGCTCTCTAACGCTAGACCACTCTGTCCCCCGAATTATTTAGGATTATCATATATAGCCCAGGCCTACTAATCGACGAAGATCATCAAGTTATCGTCATATACTTAAGCCATAGGGTGTCAGCAAATTATTGTATAGGAGATCATTCTCTTAAACACGAAATATGACATTAAGTTGATTAAAAGAAATGCATATTTTAGACGATCTAAATCTAATCAATAATTATATTTCCTATTTATTGTATTGATTGTTTCTTAATACTAATTATCAGAGTAGAATTGTAGCTATTATAAATTTTACAACGTGAATGTTAAAGAATCCATATTATCATCTATTTTTTTTTATTTTTATTGCAGAATGGAGTAAATGTTCAACAAAGATTAAAGTGATACAATTTTAGCTGGGAGTAGATGGTGATCTGTTTAACAAGGTGCTAGGTTGATTGATGACAGAACAAAGGCTGTCTGGTGAAATGGAGTAAAGGCTGTGGTGACACAGAACAAAGGATGTGTGGTGAAATGGAGTAAAGGCTGTGGTGATAGAGAACAAAGGCAGTGATATTGAACAAAGGCTGTGGTGATACAGAATAAAGGCTGTGGTGACACAGAACAAAGGCTATGGTGACACAACAAAGGCAGTGGTGACACAGAACTAAGGCAGTGACATGGAACAAAGGCAGTGGTGACACAGAACAAAGGCTGTGGTGACACAGAACAAAGGATGTGGTGACACAGAACAAAGGATGTGGTGACACAGAACAAAGGATGTGGTGACACAGGACAAAGGATATGTAGTGACATGGAACAAAGGATGTGTGGTGACATGGAGTAAAGGCTGTGTGGTGACACAGAACAAAGGATGTTGTGACACAGAACAAAGGATGTGGTGACACAGGACAAAGGATGTGTAGTGACATGGAACAAAGGATGTGTGGTGACATGGAAGAATGGCTGTGTGAAAATGGAACAAAATCTGTGGTGACACAGTGCAAGACACATAAAGGCAGTGGTGACTTGGAACAAAGTATGTGGTGAAATGGAACAAAGGCTGTGTTGACACATAACAAAGGCTGTGTGGTGACATGGAAGAATGGCTGTGAAATGATACAATTTAATTAAAAAATTAATTGTAAGGTGTTAATGTACACCTTCCAGCAGTAATCAACATAAACATTCTTTTAAAAGTTTTTATTTGTCAAAAATCTGTCATTTACAATTGGCACATGCAGATGGAGAGGTGATTGCAAATGATGTAATGAAACTGACATTTGTGTAATAAGTATTATTTTCATTTTTTAATATATATTATATAAAACAAACATTACACATGTATGTATGTACGTCTAGAATTAACTTAGTGCAGTTAGAGACACGAGATGTTATTGAATGATTTGACTTATGTGATTTTCTATCCATTTGTGTGTTTGATGCTGTTTAAATCTTGTGCACATGTACCAACTCAAAAGTATACACTGAAGGTATACAATCAAAGCATACATTCTGGTGCGAATTAAGGAGTGTTTTTAAAAAGTGTGATTTTTATATTTAAGCTACTGTGAATTTTCCATTAAAAACCATTTACACAAACCAAACCACAATGTGTTTGAAAAGTTGTTTTTCTCCCACATACTAAAATATAATCAGGAAAGTACTTTTTTTTAACAAGTTCACATAATCTGCTTAATTATAAAAAAATTGTAATTTAATATTGCATAATCAAAGATTAGGTCAGGTAAAGCTCAAATTAAGCAGACACCTGTTATCATTAAGATTAGTTTATTAGAAACAGATGCATCTACTTGATGATGATGATAAAGATGGAATTAAGATAAGGGTAGGTAGGTATGGTTTGTGAACTAATTATTTTTTAAGAAGTTAATAGTTGCAAAAAGTGGCTATTTATAAGCTTAAAAGTAGGACTTCACCATTAAAGTAATGAGCTTGGATGGTGTTGATGATTAACAGAATTTGAAAAGTAACCAGAAATTAAATCTTGATTTGGATACCACTAGCTTCACTAAATTCTAAGAGGTATCCTGCTGAACATGATGAAAAGGTGGCTGGTTATAATTTTTAATTTTTTTTTTACCTGTGACGAAAGGCACACAGTTGTATATGCTTGATTTACAGCTTGTGTTTTTTTAATTACCTTAATTACATGTGACTGACATATATTTAAAAATGTCAACATCAAAATAATTTAGCCTACAGTATATCCCTGTATCAAGATATCAGTTTTAACTGAAAGGAATATATTGGTGAATATCTTACATAAAGAATTAAACAACCATAGGTATAAGAAATAAACAGAAATTTTATTTACAACAAATCTCACAATCAAATGCCTCTAATTATTTTCTTATTTCACAAACCTAACTCACATTTTAACAGGCTCAAACACAATTATTGACAGTCGCATATTTCAACAAGTCCCACAGTTACATATTTCAACAAGTCTCACTGTCACATTTGAACAAGTCCCATATTTCAACAAGTCCCACAATCACATATTTCCTTTAGTCTCCCAACGCTGTTTTGTCTCAAACCTGTGAAAATGTAATGTAAACATTGCTAATTGTAATACCAAAAACAAGTAACACCTAAAACAATTTACCAACTAATAACTCACCCCCAGTGAAGTTTCTTCTTCTTCTTAGCCTTCATGGATTCCTTTAGTCTCTGTGTAAAAAAAAAATTAATCTTTATATTGTATCACAAAATAAGTGATCGTAAGGTTGTACAGCTAGAATGTAACTTCAGTAATAAACATTAAAAATACCTCATGAAACAGCAAAGGTTATATCCACCAAGTAAACTACCAATAACATATATTTAATATATTTTTAATATAGTTAAGCTCACCTTTTGTTCTTCCATATATCTACTTGCATCAATAGCCTCAACTATTTTTTCTCCAAACTGGAAAAAAACCAATGCATTTGTCAATATTTGTATACAAATAAAGGTGTAAACTACAAAATATAAATCTTTTTTTATCAAATTGTTTATAAAAATATATTATTACCTTGTTAAATCTCACATCATTTTAATGGAAAACCACATTTTTATAATTCACTTTAAAAGCATTATAAAATAGTTACTGTTAGCCTACAATTAGATTTAATGTATCAAATAAGGAAATATGAAACTTGAAAACAAAAATTGTATTCAAATAACTTTACAAAACTAAGGGAGTTAACCCTGATAATACAACCTCTCTATTAGCCAAATGGTCACTGAGTGATTCAGCTTGTTCAAAATCACCATTCTTGATACACTGGTCTATTTTCTTTTCCAAGGCAGTTGGTGGTGGTGGTCTTGAATGATCTGTCAACTGTAGGTGACTGTTCACATTAAGAAACTTGTTCAAGACTGACACATCTTCACTCTTTGATGCACCCGAAATATCACTTTAATATAACAAAAAAATATATTATGTCAAAGTACTGAAGCAATTTTTAAAAATCTAATTGTTGGTTTTTCAAATTGCATAATACTGACCACACAATCATTTACTATGGTGTGTCCAAACAAATATAAGAACACTATTCCATCTGCACAATGGGAATGCTTACTTTAATCATCACTAAAAAAAACTATTTTACCTAGATTGTTTACTTTCTAATTTTCTTTTGGTTCCTTTTTCTACTGGGGGACCAAACTTAACATCATATTTTCTTGCAATGTCTTTGTCTTCAGGTGAAGTAAATTCACTGGTGACTGAAAAATATTTAAAGATTTTAAAATAAGAATTTTTATTATGAAATGCTACATTGAAGCAAGATAAAGATGTTGAAAACCTGGTGGTTAAAGCCTCTACTTAATAATTGCTTTTTATATTGTAAATACTGAAAATAAAAAAGGAATTTAAAGTCCTTTTTAAACACTGTAAGCAATACATTTTTAAAAATAATTAGCGCTTATGATTGTATTTTAAAGTAAAAATTGCTTACCAGTTTCTAATACTTGTTTTTTCAAATGTTTTATTCTTTTTTCAGTTGATCTCTGAGTAGCTTCATTTGTTCTTTTTTCAAGATTCTTGAATTTCTATGAAAATAAAGAACTAAGTTATTGATTATGAATATTGAATACAGTTATCTAAAATATGATAAGCAATTTGCAATAAAGCTAAGGAATTCTTTTGAGACAAAATCAGTGGCCAAGTCTTGCAAGGAAATGTATTTTGATGTAATTAAGGAATGATAGTTGATAGAAACTAATAGCCATTATTCTGTAAGATGCTTAAATTGTTTGAATGCTGGATTGCAAAAATTAAGCTATTTTTGTTTGTCAATAGTGTATCTTCAACACTCACTGGCCCCAACATAATTAATTAGACCTACAACCATTTTTAATTCAATCTGTTAAAATTCTATTTCTAATAGGCCTAGGCTCTACCCTAGGCCTAACTAGGTAATAATAATAATAGTAGTAGGCCTAACTAATATTAGCCAAATTGGTAATCTATCGTTTTAGGTACGTAAAATTAAAATCGCCAGCGACTAGTAATGTGAAAAACAGGTGACTCCTTAAAATTTAAAAATTATTTCACATTTTGAGGAGGATTTATGTTTTGAAAAATACAAAAATGTTTTCTTGTTTCATTTATGTACCTGTTTTTAAACAGTTTAATTATAACTTTTTAGTAATAAAGATTAGCAATGTTTCCAACAGATGCAACCATGTCATTTAGTACATTCTAGCAGCCATCTTAATACACTGAGCTATAAAAATTACGAAACTATACAATACAATAGCATTCGCGTAGCCGCAAATTCTCGGCGTCTTGGTAACGTGGACGAAAAACTCGCCGCGCGGGGTAAAACGAGATGTAATCCTAGTACCTAAAAATCTAGATTACCGATAGAAGATCTATCTATAAAAATTTTAAAGTTAAAAAATTAAAACTTTCACCTCCCACAGATGTTGAGATACATTTTTGGGTTTATAATTAGATTGATCTACATTGCATTTATCATTTTTATCCTCCATTTTCAAAATGTTAAGTCATAAACCTAATCTATGGTCATTCTGTTAAACAAAATCCTAAAATCGTGACTAGTCTAGATTTAATCTGGATCTAAAAAATGTAAACAACGTATTTTTGTTTAACTTCTTTTGTTTATATTTGACAAAAAGCTGCAATTTTGTTTAGCACCTCACAGTTATAGCGGTTAAAAATTCACCAAATTTTGATTGTTAGATTATTTAGGCCTTGATTATTATGAAATTAAAACATTCATAGATCTAGAATTAGATCTAGATCTATTTGCATTTTAAAATGTCGGCAATTTTTAGATTTATAAAACAAAATAAATACATTTTAATGTTAACAATTTTTTTCAATTAGCTTTTTAAAACAAATTCATCTAGTCCACTGGGTTTAAGTAAACTTGTGTTCTTAAGCGGTGCGCTAAGACATTAGTAGATCTAACAATAAAGTCACAAAAGTGACAACATTAAGTTTAAGTTATATTCAATTCATCATCAACCAACATCATTTGGGTTTAATAAATTGTGTTCTAGTCTCGAGTAGATAAATACAAAAGATTGCCTTATTTACTTTAAGATAAATTTCAAAATAATGAAAGAAGAAGAAATTCTATTTTTAAATTAAATTAGAACATGTGTAGATCGCTCTATATTTAGAAACATGATTCTGTAAGAAGCGAAAACTAGCACATTTATATTTTTAGTACACTGTGTTAAGTGTTATGTTTAATAACTAACCGTGTTTACTGAAAATGCACCGAATGTAGTCTATTGTAGTGCTGGAGTATTTGCATTTTATTCAAACTTGTTTCAAACAAAAAATAAGTCTAGGTAGGTCTACGTGCAGATTTTTATAATATGCTTTATTATGCATCGTTAACTTGCAATAATAAACACGTCTTTAAGAACAAAAAACCGGGAATCTCGCAACGAAACCTGTTGTCGATAATGATAATGCTGTTCTCAACTTTTATCCTACTTGCCTAAATTCAATTTTGACTAAAAAACAAACTGTAGGCTGAATAAATTATTGAGTGGTAGGTATAATTGGACCTCCTATAGTAGACATACTTGGTCCTCCTATCAATCCTTTAAAAATACTTTAAATTATTACGCTCTTTTAAAATTCCCCCCCCCCCCCCACAAGCTATATTTGAAGCTATCAATCTCAATCAGCATATCTCAGATTTGAGATTATTCTGTAGATCTAGTCTCTTACCAGCTAATCCTACACATTTCATTAAGCTACTTTCTAGTTATAACTAACTCGCTTCTTGAATCTAGATCTAGGAAGGCCCTATCTGAACTAAAACTAATAAATTTTTCCACATTATTAGGCCTAATCAAAACATGTGGGTAGAATGTAGCCTGGATCTAATAAAATCTAATTTAATAAAAATAAACCTATTTTGAGCATCATCGCAGAGCTTTCAATTATTTTTAAAAGTGGTATACTAGATCTAGATAGATAGGCCTATGAATATGATGATTAGGTCTAGATAGATATATTTATAATTTATTATTGAGCCCCGATTATAGTAGGCCTATAGAGTATAGTATAGACCCTAGATAGGTTACAGGTCTAGGAAATTAAGGCCAAGGCTATTCCCAGTAAGTCGGGAATAGCCTCAACACACCTATACCCAGTGATAGCTGACAGGCAATAAATAAATTAAATTGCCTCACTGGCTCTTGATTCTTAGGCTTGAACTTAACTTTACATATTGGGCTATTAATTATCAATTAATTAAGATCAGTGTTTCTTCCAGACTTTTTTCTCCGGGGGGGGGGGGGGGGGGGGTAAACTTTCTTCGGGGGGGGGGGGGGGCGGACACTGTTAAAAGTATATATTTTCTATATAAATTATATAAATTTCATTTCGTTCGGGGGGGGGGGGGGGGGGGGGGTAAAAAATTTCGGGGGCTTAGCCCCCCCCCCCCCCCCCCCCCCCCCCCAGAAGAGATGCCTGGAAGAAACTCTGATTAAGATACTTTGGTGCTGAGTAGGCTAAGTATAAAATTTAATTAGTTGTACTTTAAGGTTGCTCAAATTACTGTCGTTTTTTAAAAGTGTATAAATCAACATCCCACTAGGCCTAATGATAGCTTATTTCATTATAACAGCCAAATGAAAATGTTTTATTTATTTTACTATAAAAAAATCTAAACAGAAATCCTTAGATAAGCCCCTGATATGGAAGAATTTGTTAATTTTTACCAAATTAGCTTCATGCATTTCAAAAGATAACATTAACAGATTAAAAAGACTTATTTATTTATAACTTCAGTTTCAATTTTTTTAAAAGCCTAACACAAACTGAGGTTTTAATATTTTATCAAATAGATTTTTACCAATATGTACACATTTTAATATCCTAAATGGCTAAATTATTGATCTGGCTTGCATTTCCCTGTAATAATTAAAAGTCTTATAAATTTTTTTTTTAGTCCTGAGTAGGCTAATTAGATTTAAATAGGGACCTACCTGTGTATGTCGCTTTAACTGCAGGTATAATCACTCAGATAAACCAAATTTAATTTGTTTTAATTACTTTATTTAAACACCACCATTTTAACTTAAAACCCTACTCTAATTTAAGTTTAAAAAGTATGTACATTTGTATTTTGGGCTGAATTTGTTTGCTAGTGATTTTCAAGTGAGTTGTTCTCACTGAAAATACAACTTTGGAAACTTTAGTTGATGATTGTTTTACTAGTACTAGTTTTGATTTTACTGTGTCAACTCACTACAGCAAGCACTAGTGATAAGGGCAACTTTAATAACCATGAGTGTTGAAGTATATATTTCTTTTATTTTCTTCTAAAAAAGTTTTGGCAAAACAATAGTATAATAAAACTGCTAAATATTTTTATTATTTTGATTGTTTTTGTAAGTCATAAGATGGTACTTCAAGAAATGAATAACTTGTTACTAAAAAATGAAAAAGCAAATGTACCATTTACTTTAATGTAATCTCTTTTTAATATCAAAAGCAAACGATATAATTATAAACTTGTTCGGGGTATTGTTATTCCAGTGTCTCATAGTAATAGAATTTTCTAAAAACTTGGATGTTAGGTTATTGTTAGTAAACCAAAATATCGCCAAAATCCTAATTTCTGATCCTAGACCTAATATTACAATACTACTCAACCTATCACACTCTAGTCTTAGAGTCTATTGTCAGAAACTGGTCACATCAATATTACACTTGTTTCTATAAGCCCAAACTTATATTTTTGTGCAAGGCTTACATTTTATGAAGTTTATTTTTGAGTTTTATCAATGGAGTTATAGATTAATTGTCCATTATCAGATGTATACCCAATTTTTCTCCCACTAGTCACACTGTTCTCAAAATCTTAGAATTTATTGCTGAATATTTGAATTGGTATCCTGCATTGAATATTAAATAACTTCTTTTTTATTGTATATTTTTCTGTAAAGATATCTCTGATGACATCAGGGTTATCACTTGAACTTTGTTTTATTTCTTTTTAAATATGTGTGTGACTAAATATTGTTACAAAATTAAATTTAAACTGATTACAGGACTGTGAAAGGCTATTGGTTGCCATGATGGTTGGGTCACCCATGAGTCCTCAGGATGCGGCAGCCCAGTTGACTGCTTTTAAATCCTATGTCCAGCTCATTGCAGACACTACACCAGGCAGTAAGTTTGGCATATTTAAAAAAGTTTAATCCTTGGGAACAGTTTTTTAAACACTTAAATTAAATGATTGTTAGATAGGATTTTAAAAAATTAAACAGTGCTTAAGATTAACTTTAAAGTCTGACATTACATTTGTGTAAAAACATTTTTTTACAGTTGTGGAAAAGAAACTAAAAGCAGCTCAAGAACTCAGTGAGAATTTTGAGGTAGCTTAAAAAGTTTATATAAATTACATAATTATCTCAGACTGAAACACAATTTGTGCAGTAATGGTGGTTAAAAGTTGTATTGCTGTCTCATTTATATTACTTGATATTACATTCATTTTATTTCAAATGCCATCTTTCACTTTGTATAGTATACTTGATTTTAATTAATATTCAAATGAACTTTTTCCAGAGTGTTGTTGCATTGCCACAATATCCTCAATTTCTCGCTGAACTTATGAGAGTTTTTCTAAAAATTCTGGATGAAGGGGAACCACAATTTATTGCAGAACAAAACATACAGGTAACTTGATCTCTGCTAATAATTGTATTTTGACAGCAATTTTTTTTTTGTTCGTTGACTATATGTCATTTAAACTTATTTTCCTCTTAACTACTAATGCCACATACATGAAAGGGATGTCTGATGTCTGTCAATTTTTAAATTTATAATATGCCTAGGCATGTTTTAAATGCCAGGTTTCTTGCTTTACAAAATAGGTATTTAGAAGAGGGTGTAATTGACCACAGGGGCTAATGACCTGGACCCATGATGCTTTTAGTTTTATGGTATTTGAGCAGAATAGTCATGTAAAAGTATATTTAGTTGGAACATGATTTTATCATTATTTTGTTAATTCTCCTGTAGCAATTGAGGAAGCTGCTGCTGGAGATAATACACCGCATACCTTGCAATGATCACTTGAAGAAATATGTGCAACAGATATTGACTCTGATGTTCAGGCTTTTAAAAGTAAGTAGTTTTAAATTATTGCTTGTAGGGTTAAATTTTGAAATGTCTTTAATAGTCTCAGTACCATTGGTACACGCTTACTCCATCTTAAACAATGCCACTTTAAGTAATGACTATCATCTCTTCCTAAATCATTTTATTTCCCCTTAATCAAGCCTATTCAAAAATTAAAATTTCATTGGAAATCATGGTAATCAGTTGTAAATAAAATAGAAAATACAAGTGTACATATTGTCTTCAATATCCGTTCACCTAATTAGCTATCCATATTTAATATCTATTTAAAATGATTGTTAATGAGAGGGTAGTAATCAGGCAGGGGGGGGGGGTGATATAAAGTTTTAAAAAATAATTATCTTAAGCCAGGCATAAGGGGAAACTTTACAGTGATACATCCATATTTATTTAGTTATATCCAAACTAAAAATATTTACTTTCAGTTTTTAACTGTAGAGTTTCAGTTAAAAATAGTCACTCAGTAAATTATAGATATTTTCTCTATGAACATTGACCTGACGCAAATTTCTTCAGATTGAAAATGAAGACAATGTGCTAGTGTGTATCCGAATTATTCTTGAACTTCACAAGCAGTACAGGCCACAGATGAATGAAGAGGTCAGTTGTTTTTTAAGTTACTGTTTATACTTTGCTATTTCCCAAGTAAGCTTATTTTATTAATTTATTGTTCTTATTAAACACATCCACCATGCCTGCAACATATTTCATCATTTAAATTTCCAAACTGGGACTGTCAGAATAAAATATTGAATTGTTATACTTCATTATAATTTTCTTTCAATATTTATAAATGCTGACATAGAAATAGTTATTTTAACGACATATAATCATCTAACTTCTGTACAGAAAGTGATTACCCTAAATTGCACTAATCTTGTTCCTCAGATTACAGAGTTCATGAAGTTTGTGAAGGGTATCTATAGCAACCTACCAAGCCACTTGCCTCGTATCTTTGAACCAAGATCTCAGAAAAAAGTGAAAGACTTGTCAGACATCAATGTTGAAGTTTGGTTGCAAGATATTTTTACTGTCACCACTGTTCTTACAGACAAAAAAAATGCTGAAAACCAAAGTGTACAGGTAGAAATACAAAATAACTTCATAAAGTAGAATATATAAGAAATAACATTAACAAAGTTTAAATATTGAAGTGATATTTACAATTTTTCACCTTTAGTTAAACATTTATCTTGAACATTTAAATGGTAGTTAAAAAAAAACTTACATTTAATAAAAAAAAAAATATTTATCCTTAAGATTTAAATGGTGAGTTAAGGCAACTCTTAAGTTGGTTTTTTTTTTCAGTACAACATAATTCCAATGGGTGTGCAGAGTCTGAAGGTGCTGGCAGAACTTCCTGTGATTGTTGTGTTGATGTACCAAATGTACAAGCAACAAGTACAGAATGATATGGTTGAATTTATTCCTTTGATCATGAACACAATCACTCTTCAGCCATCAGCCCAGCATAGGTAAATTAACTCGTTTTTTTTTTCATGTTATGATTATGACATTATTTTTGTATGGTTTTAAGCTTCATTCTATATATTATATTTTTTATTTTGTTAAAAAAAATTTTTACCTCTATTTTCAGAAATAGTCTAAATTTTAACAAAGAGGTGTTTGTAGATTTTATTGCTGCTCAAATAAAAACGTTATCATTCTTGGCATACATTATCAAGATATACCAGGTGTGTAAAAACTAAATGTTAATCAGTAGGAATTTTATACTGCCATCTTTGGTATATTAGATAATCAAATGTGTCAATAAACACAATGTAATCTAATATGTGGATTAATGCTACTTACATGTTCTGATGGAACATTTTATATTTAAATTGTGTAAATTTGAAAATGTATTCTCTTGTTTTTGTAACTTGGTGACACAGGGAGCTGTTAACAGCCACTCACAGCAAATGGTGCAAGGACTATTGGGTCTGATGGCTTTATGTCCACAAGAAGTTGCTCATTTAAGGAAGGAACTCTTGATGGCTGCTAGACATATTCTTTCAACTGATCTTAGAAATAGTAAGTACAATAAATTTTTTTTTAAAATAAGAGTTGCTGGTTTGATTATTGTTAGACATTAGCTATAATAGTTATAATATATGCAAAAAATTTTCTTTCAAGGATTTGTACCTGTCATTGAAAAGTTGTTTGATGAAAACACATTGATTGGGTCGGGGTGGACAACTTATGAGTCATTGAGGTATGTTATAGCATTTCTAGCCTTGTAGAGTCATTAATTAGCTTTTGTATAAATTGTATAGCAATTAATTAGATTTTGTAGAAATTTTATAGTCATTAATTAGCTTTTGTAGAAATTGTAGAGCAATTAATTAGCTTTTGTAGAAATGGATTTAACTATTTTAACTACTGAGAAGATAATTAATGACATAAAACTAGAGGGAGAAATATGAAGCTGTAGTTGTGCAAAAAAAATTATAAAATTTAGTAACCTCTCAAAGATGTTAAAATTGAAATGACGTTCTGTTTTCTAGGCCTCTGGCATACAGCACATTAGCAGATCTTGTTCACCATGTTCGCAACAATCTGTCACTCCATGACCTCTCCCTGGCTGTCAACCTTTTCTCTAAGAATGTCCATGATGACTCACTACCCAGCAGCATTCAAACTATGTCTTGTAAACTCTTGCTTAACTTAGTTGATTGTATTAGAACAAAAAGTGACTTGGAAAATGGAAATGTGAGTACAAGCAATTTTAATTTGATAAGTTGTTTAGTAGTTTTAAAACCTCAATAGCACCACAATAGCACTTGCTGCTATTGTGGTTTTTTTAAATGCTGGAACTGCAATACTTAATAAATGTCTTTAAAGGTGATTTTAAAACTTCTTCCCAAAAAAATAATCCAGGGTAGAGAACTTCTTCTTAGGATGTCAGAGGTGTTTGTCATTAAGTTCAAAACAATTGCCAAGGTCCAACTTCCACTTTTGTTAAGTAAATGGTAAGTAGTTTACAATAAAGGGGAGTAGACTTTTAGACCTAATGATCTACAGAAATAGATGAAGATAAACCAGTTTCACTGAAGTGACTGTATTGCCATCACATACTATTCCTAATTAAATTTACTTTCCCCATCCTAACTTTGGTACCTTCAGAGACTATGCGACACCCTATAGCTTCCAGTGTGAGGATCAAGTACAATTATATATTTACCAAATCACACTGTTTTTTACTTAAGAATATTTTTATCTTAACTAATTTTCTTTAATCTTTTAGTAAACCAATTAATGAACCTTCCAAGATGGCAGAGGCAAAAGTTGTTTGCCCATCACCAACTAGTGCTCAGGTACATTAAAATTGAAAGCTACGATGTTAGAAATTGCAACTCTGTCAGATTTCTAGGCATTTACCAAGTTTCTTAACTAATACCCAGGTTGCCCAACAGTTAATAGCTTCAGGAGATGGAAAGTTGCCAGAGTCAATCAAAGATGAAAAGTTGCAGTCATTGTTTACCACAAGTGTTGAAGCTAAAGACAAAGAAGACAAGGTAATTATTGTTTTTACTTTCTCGTATATACGAAATATAGAGAAAGTATTGTAATCGTGCAAAAAAAAAAAATCGAGATTTTTACAAATCTCGACGTTTTACACCTCACTGATACGGAAAAACATAATTTTGCAATCTTGTCCGTATGTCTGTGTGTGTCTGTCTGTCTGTCTGTCCGTGTGTAAACACGATTACTTGAGAACCGTTACAGCTAGGTTGATGAAATTTCATATATAAGTATTTTATCAAAATCGTAGATCCGTATCAACTTTTGAGCGATTTCCGATAACCGGAAGTGGTACTTTTCCTACTTTGAATTTTTCAAAAGCCTATAACTTGAGTACTATTTCAGATAGATAAATGAAATTTCACATGTAAGTAAAAGATCTAATTCTCTACCTTCTGTTAAATTTTGAGTAATTTCCGTTGACTGGAAGTAGTAATTTACGCTACTTCCGATTTCTCAAAAAACTATTGTAAATTTTAAAAGTACTAATAATATTGCGCACCATTATGCGCTTTTTTATTTGGCGTTCACTTGGTGTGCAATTAATTTGTCTACGAGATTTTATTCTATTTTTAAAACTTAAAGTATTTAAAATGGATTAAAAATCATGTCTATAGCCCGAGTTCCCATCCCCTGTTATTTTATATAAGAATATTCGAGAAAGTTTAGGGGAGATCACTCCCGGTTTATTTACTTTCTCTTTAAAAAATCAAATATGCCAGCACTGGTTGTGTATAGCAAAAAAAATTTTTTTTATCTTGCATGTCTCCTGTTAAATTGATTGGAAAAATGTTAATTTTTACAGAACTTTATTATATTTCTGTGTATTTTAGAATGCTATATTTATTAAATATTTTAAGTGTTACATATTTTGTGTGCTTATGTCATATTTCAGCCCATGATGAGATTTGGTGCTATACCCAACCACAACAGTCCATACTCAGTTTCAGAATGTCGCAGTCTAATGAAGACTCTAGTGTGTGGAGTAAAAACCATCACCTGGGGAACACTTAACTGCAAAGCACCTGGTATAGGTAAACTTCTGACTAGTATCAAATCTACACATTGTATACCATAACAATTATTGTTTAAAATGTGGCTTTTTCTTCATCAAACACTTTTATAATAATAATACCATATAATTTATTGTCTATTCTGTAGGAAATAGTAAACAGTTCCAGACCAAGGAAATTCTAGTCTATGTCAGATTGTTAAAGTATGCACTAAAGGCCCTCGACATCTACACAATTTGTGTCAACCCCAATGGAGGCTTGTACGTCAGGTCACAGAGGTGGGTAAAAAATTTGACATTAAGTTAGGGAAAATTAACTCACAATTCACTAATATATTTTCATTAATTTCTTTTTATTTCCTCAAGACATTTTTAACCGCTCATTGAATTTTGTTTTCAGCATACAGAATGTCAAGGTTAAAGAAGAAAAAGAAGCTTTGGAACATTTTGCTGGTGTGGTATGTATCATTCATGATGTGTATTTAAACACTGCAACCACTTAAACAATTTAAAATACTCCTCATGTTTGATGACCATCATTGAAGTTTTAAAAAATGTTTTTAAATCCACAGTTTACCATGTTGACACCCATTTCCTTCAAAGAAATTTTTTCATCTGTTATTGAGGTATGTTTAGCAACAACATTGGTATTGTGTGCTCATTTATATGTTAAAGTTAAGCTGTTCTATCTTAACTTTATCATGATGTATAAAATGTACACATATCCTCATTAAAAAAAATGTTCAAACATGAAGTTATATAACATAATTTTTTAAATTGATAAACTTGAATTGTAAGTTACTAAACATTTGTTTTTTCTTTTCAGTACATGGTGGACAGGATACATGGCAACTTTGCTCTTCAGGTGACTTAAAATTTGTACTTGTTTTCTTGAATTTTGTTTCTCCGCATACATAATATGACTTTAAAGATTCATTTCCTTTCTTGAACAGATTGTTGCCAATTCATTTCTTGCACATATGACCACCTCAGCAACGTTTGCCACAATACTTGTTGAGTATCTTTTGGAAAGGATTCATGAAATGGGATGTAAGTTCTCTTTCTGTTTAATCACCTTGATTAAAAAATCAATTAGTTGTTACCTTAAGTTTGCGCTTGATAATTACCATTAACTCTAGGCAAAGTTAGTTAAAAGTGGAAGAAATATGAACTCTCTTGTATAATTTCAGCAAATGTTGAGCGATCAAATCTGTATCTGAAATTGTTCAAAATGGTATTTGGTTCAGTCTCCTTGTTTGCTGCAGAAAATGAACAAATGCTGAAAGTGAGTTTTAATAATTTTTTTCTATCATATATTGTAGCAGTACTGTCGATAATTATTTTTGTTAAAAAGCTTATGTTCATTATCCTACTCGTATTTTAAAAATGAGAAATTATATTCTACAAATACTGAATTTCAATTTAACCTAAAAAAATTATCCTTTACTATTTTTCAGCCCCATTTACATACAATAGTCAACCGTTCCATGGAGCTGGCTTTGTCTGCCAATGAGCCGTACAACTATTTCCTGTTGCTGAGAGCTTTGTTTAGATCCATTGGCGGAGGAAGTCATGATCTGCTCTATCAGGAGTTTCTTCCTTTGCTGCCAAACCTCTTGCAAGGTAAATTATTTTTACATACCCTGGTGTTTTTTGAAGATGCTATATTTTCAGTTACTTTTTATATATCATAATCTTTTAGACACAATTAACTTAAGTATGTTTTCCTGTATATTGGATTTTGCCTTGTTTTATTCATATTCATGTTTAAATGTTGTTTTTTTTTTACTTGACCACCTAAAGGGCAGTAATGTTTTTAAAGCCCAGACAGTAAAGGGTTACACTTTTTTGTTGGTTTACCTAATTAAACTTACGCTACATTATGTGTTTGTTGTACCCAGGCCTAAACAGCTTGCAGAGTGGGTTACATAGGCAGCACATGAAGGATCTGTTTGTAGAGTTGTGTCTAACTGTTCCTGTACGCCTCAGTTCACTGCTGCCCTATCTGCCAATGTTAATGGATCCGCTTGTCTCAGCTCTCAATGGCTCTCAGACCTTGATTAATCAGGTTAGTTTTATTTACCTGTCAGTTAACTGTATGGTGATGGAGGTTCACTGAGATCTGCTTGTTAGATAAAATATAATAGCTGTTGCTGGCCTGACGGTTGTAGTTGGTTTTTGTGACAAAATTGAGTTGGGTTCAGTCCAGTGGGTAGTGCTAGGACCCACCCTGAGAGTGGGTAGTGCTTGGATCCACCCTGACAGTGGGTAGTGTTTGGATCCACCCTGACAGTGGGTAGTGTTTGGATCCACCCTGACAGTGGGTAGTGTTTGGATCCACCCTGACAGTGGGTATTGCTTGGATCCACCATAATCGGATTAATGCCTGTGGTGTTAGTACAAAATAAGGCTTTGTGGTAGCAGCAAAGTTCCTTTACATATTACATCAATGTGCTGACATTACTGTAAAATAACATTTGATAAAACAAAACTTTCTACCAGGGTCTGAGAACATTGGAGCTGTGTGTTGACAACTTACAACCTGATTTCCTCTATGACCACATTCAACCTGTCCGTGCTGAGCTGATGCAGGTATGTTAGCATTGTGCTTGTTCCTCATAATATATAAAATGCATTGAGAGGTATATTTTATATGTAACTATCGTGTAACTAGTATATACTTTTATACATGTTCTGTCATCCTCATGCTGTCATAATTTACTTTAATATCAAGCAACAAAAGTTATGTGTAACTGAATTCTTATAATTACATGTATTAAACATATATGTTCTCTTACCTTAGGCATTGTGGAGGACTTTAAAAAATCCACAAGATGCAACTGCAGCCACAGCTTTCAGGGTTCTGGGCAAGTTTGGTGGTGGGAACCGCAAGATGTTAAGGGAGCCTCAAGTTGTTAGTATAGCTCCAAATGTAATGTCCATCATCTTATCATTTGATGTTTCCATTAACATCAGCAGTTTGTTGCATGTTCTAACCCATCTGTTCTGCTCATTTGGTAACACTCATTTATTTTTAACCATTTGTTACTGTTTGTTGTTCTATTATAAAAACAGTTGTTATAATTCTGAGATGAGACTTTTCCAAATTAGGTGCATTTACGCATTTTTCGGTAAGATAAAAAAATTTTGTAGGGAATAGGCTTCAGAAATATTTCAGGTGCTTATTTTTAACAAAATTATTTTAAAAAATATTTGTTGTACTCTCTTTACTGCTAATCTGACATGCATCTGATCTATCAATTTTGACCTGCTAGTGTTTGATACCCCTTCAACCTTTTCCCACTGATTTTTTCATTTAGGAACACTTCAGGTTGTTGATTTCTAAGCGTGTGTATACTCACTATAACGCTAACAATGTGTTTCTTAATGCCAGGTTTTAATTACCAGCAATCTCAAATAGCAATTGTTCACCCTGTCCTCTAATATGGTTGATCCTTTTGTTTATCTCACATATTAATTACAAATTAGGCTATTTACTTTATTATATTACACTTTTGATTAATAAAAAAAAAACTAGATACCATGTCCATGTTTAAAAGTTCATGCACATTTGAACTGTTTTTTTTTCATCATGTATCTTAGTGTATGGGAGGCTGAGATTGATGAGGAGAGGGATATTTAAGAAAGGAGTAGACAGATATGATTAATTACTAGGTTGAATAGCTCTACTCAGTATAGTGTATTTATTTAGTTTATTTCATTTAGTTAACAAATTAATCTTCTTTAAAAATAGCAGCTATAAACTTTTAATTAGTACAATAAATGAGATACATTTTAGTTACAAATAGCTTAATGGGGCTGGTCTAAATTATTTCCTAAATTATTTTCATGGTCTAGTCACTTCTCTGATCTTTAATCTTAATCTAAACATTACATTTTTTGAAGTGTCTGCATGCTTCACTTATAGATGTATACTATTATGAAATACATTTTCCTTTTATACATATTCATGCAAATAGTTCAATGTTTTGGCAGCTTCAGTACAATTCCAAAGAAACAGTTGGTCCTTGTATAAACATTCACTTTCAAGAGTGCAAAACTCCTGTATCTCTGCCAGTTGAAAAGGTAAAGTTACAATTCTTTGATTGCTAAGGTGATTCCTTGATAATTTTTATCAGCATTTTGGGCAGCTGCTGTTTCTATAGATTCAGAATCAGAATATATTACTTACATTTAAAAGTGTGGAAATCCTTTCCTTTATAAATAGAACATTTCCTTGTATTTTTGAAGGCTGTAGAAACTGCACTTACCACACTGAAGAGCTCTCTGATAGATTCTTACAACAGAAGACAGGCATATGAGCTGATCAGATGTTTTCTAATTTCTGTCATGAATCTGGAAGATGATAAACTTACTCTCTTGCATTTGTTTTCTCACCCAAGGTAACTGACATTTTAGACCTGTGTAATTTTATTTTTATTGTTCATTTGAATCAATCTTGTTTGTAAACTGAAAAATAATGTGCACTTTCACTAATTTTCATTGATTCCAGCTTTAAAGAAAAGGATATAGGCCAACTAAATGCTCAATGCTACAAGAACCCAGACTCTTATTCTCGCAAGGTTCATGAGCAAGCTCTCACAGGGATGTTTGGTAGGTTTAAAAAGTTTTATCATTAAATTTTTGTAAGCTTGTTGTAATGTTCCACTAATTATAATCTTTGTTTTCTAGTTGCTGCAGCAATCAAGGACCTCAGGCCTACTGCCCTTCCCTTCATGGCTTGCATGGTTCGACACTATACCCTCATCTCCATTTCACAGCAGTGTGGTGAGTTTATAACAGATTTGATATTTTAATGTTTTCATTGTTTTGTACATATATATAGTATATTGATGGATATTAGAAGTTTGTTGAATTTGTATTTTTAATGGAATAAATTGTTGTACAAGTTTTTGCAATGATGATATAAAGTCAAATGTTGTATTATTTATTGTAAAAAATGAACCCTGAAAACGCGTGCTAGATCTTTAGCAAATCTAAATTGTAACGGTTTTTTTATATAAAAATGTATAGTTTTTTACACTTGTTTAAAAAGGTTATCAATTCTTGTTTTCAGGTCCATTTCCTGTTGGGGAGAAGCAAACAAAACTTCAAGGGATGGACACCCAGATTTTGGTGGATGCCCTCAGCACAATCATGGGACATGAGGAGAAAGAGCTGTGTAAGCCAGGAAACTTCTCTCTGGCCATCATCATTGACACCGCCACCACCATTCTTGGTACAAAGGATAGGGTAAGACTGGGTTTTCTTTTTAAATCATCTATTCCATATAGTTAAAATTTTGTTCTCCTATTTTGGTAATAATTTAAATTATTTTTAAAGGCATGTCAGCTTCCACTGTTTGAATATGTTGCTGAAAAGATGTGCGATCTTTGTTACAATCGTGCATGGTACTCAAAATATGGAGGGTAAGCTACTTTTCAGGTTAATTATAATTACCTGTAAACTTTAATATTTTGTTTTTGAAACTTAATTAAAACAGGATGTTAAACGATAGCATTTTTTATTTTAGGTGTTTGGCCATTAAGTCTTTGTATGAAAGAATGAGCTTGAAATGGGTTTTGGAGCATCAGTACACATTCCTGAAGGCCCTGCTTTTTGTTATCAATGATCTGACTAGTGAGGTAAAGAGAATATTTATTTAAAACTTTTTATTATTTAAAATAGTAATTTTATAAATTATTTCAGCTGTTGATATTATTTTTAAAGTCCGGTATAAAAGCTGTTTTGGAAAATGATGGACCTCATGATTTTTTCTGCCACAATTTCAACAGGTTTCCAGTGGAGCTGTTGAACTTGCCCAGAAATGTGTTGAGGAAATGTTGAGATTGTGTGCCAAGCCATTAGAAGGTGATGAAGCAACTGAAGATTTAATTGCTGCCCAAAAAAAATCAATTTATGATGTTGCCCATAAACTGATTCCACAAATCACAACCTCAAATACATTGGTCAGGCAACAGGTTGGTACAATTTATTTTATTAAAAAAAATATTTTGAAACTTTTGTATCCCTTGAACAATCTTATTGTTCGTTGCTTGTACTTGACAGTGTATGAAATCACTGAAGACCTTAGCTGAGGTGTCCAAGAAAACAGTGACAGAGATCATGGAGCCACATAAAGAACTGTTGCAGGACATGATTCCACCCAAGAAACATCTGCTCAGGCACATAGCTCTGGTGTCTCAGATTGGAATCATGGTGAGCTAAAATCTTGTCTAATTCATGATTAGATATCTAATTCAAGATTTAACATTGTCTAATTCATCATTAAATGTTTGTCTAATTCATAATTTAATCTTATCTTAAATCTTGTCTGATGTATGATTAAATCTAGTTTAATTCCTGGTTATAGTGTATTGGAATGCATTTTCAGTTAATGTAGTTTGTTTTAAAATATTAGAATTAAATAAATGAAAATTTCCTTCAAACTTTTAGGATGGCTATACCTTCTGTGTAACACTGGAGCCAAGATTGTTTAACTTTGATGCCAATCAGCTGGAGCATGGTGTTTTCTTCCATGAGGTACTTGTTTGTTTTGTATGGTGTACATTAACAGTTGTTTCCTTATATAGTCTTCAATTACTAAACACTGCTATAAAATCTCTGATAGGTGTTCAACATGTGTGATGCTGAAGAGTCTGTACTGATGAAACAGCCTTGTTATAAGAATGTCACCAATTTGGTGCCCTTAAAGAAAAGTGCACTCAGTAAGTGGAAAATGTGTTTAAAAGATGATTTGTTTTAACTGTAAGGTTGTCACAAAATGACTTTTTTTTATGGATAAACAGCTTTCCTAGTTAGAAGATACATTGATTTGGATTGAACTTTTAATGAAAATTAAAATTTTGTACGGGAAGAGCTTGGTTGGATGGTAGAGCATGTCTGCTAATTTTAAAATCCCAGGTTCTTGTCTGTAGAATGTCCCAGAGTCGACATAGCTCTGATGGGTACCTGACTCATGTTAGGGATAGAGAAGGCGGCTGGGCATACTGCTGACCTTTTTAGACCTATATATGCTGAGGTCACTGAAACATGTAAACTCTACTTCAGCTGACCCTGGATTGTCAAGTTCGAAAGGGTTATTTTACTAAGCTTTTTACAATTTTATCCATGTTTCCTTCTCCAGAGGCACTAGCTGCATGTAATCTTGTCCTAAACAAGAAGGAAAAGATTTTCCAAACACTGTACAAAGCCCTCAACAGTTCCAACTCTGAGATCCAAGAGACAGCTCACGAGTCAATGAAAATGGTAAAAGTTTACAAATCTAAACTAAACTTGTAAACACTTGTAAAATCTTTCCCAACATTTCTATCATGTTTGTACATGAGACTAGTCTAGATACTGATAATTTTCTCTAACAGTTTATGCAAGGCTGTACAATAGATGTAGACATGGCATATGGTGCCATGAGACCCTTACTGTCTGTGTTGGGAGACTACCGAGGGTTGAATCTCAGCATCATCAAAAGGCTCTCATCTTTGGTGCAGCTCTTCCCTACCAGCTTTAATGAAAAACTATGTGAATCTATGCAGGTAGATATATCGTCTCACAATCTATGTAGGCCTACTGAATTGTTAAATTGTACTTGTTACATTGTAGAAAGTCTTTACTTTGAATAAGAAATTTATTAAAAATTATTTTCCTTGTAGGGCCATCTGAAGAAGTGGATTGAAACTGCTCACACTAATCAGAAGACAGGACAGCCTCGGCCTGCTGGTCAGGTTCTGTCCACTGTAAGTCAACTTGATTTTGTTTGGTAGCATTTAGTGTCTATAGAAATATTGTTTGTGGCTAAGATAGTGTTTTAGACAGTTCACAAAATCAAACCAGAGTGATTTTTATTTCATCAGGAAGTGCAGTTGTGTGCAGCAATTATCAACATTTTTCACTTGATTCCTGCTGCCAGCAAAAATCTGATTGAGCCATTAACAACTCTGGTTATTCTTGGTGAGAGAGCTCTTCTGATGGAGGTAAGAAATTTTACTGTTCACACTCAACACAACCTCTCCAAAACAATGACTGAACCTCATGTCTTTGTGAGCTAACTTACATAATTTTTGTTTGGTTGTGGTTTCTCTAGGCCAGCAGTCCTTTCCGTGAGCCACTCATGAAGTTTCAACTCAAGTACCCCACACAAGTTGTGGACTTGTTTCTTTCTGAAAATGCTCTCAAAGATCAGCAATGGTGCAGATATTTTGAGGTATTTATTCTTCATCTATTAATTCATCAAACCATATATAAATATGTTGTCAACTATGTCCTCTATACACCTTACTTAAAAAATATAGTCTAGTAGAATTTTAAAAATCAATACTAATAATAAAAATGTTTTATTGCAGTATCTACTACACCACCCAGATGGGACTAAATTTTGTGAAGCCCTCAGAGCTAACCCCATGCGTTTAGCCAACATGTTATCTGGACAACTGCAGGTAACACTATTCATGCTACTAGTTTATATCTCTAGGTTTATGTCCTCAGTGCTTGTTTCTTTATGTGAATGGTAAAGCACAAATCCTCACCTTAACACTGTTAAGATTGGTTGATGGACTTTATTTAGTCCATAGAAAGTCTCTGAGTCCACCCAGCTATAATAGGTATCAGACCAGAGTTGTATGTAAACTATATATGGCTTGGCATTGGGTTGATCACACAACCCCTCTCCCCCTCTGTCAAACTAATGAGTTGTAGTTGACCTGCCTATGGGCCATTAGGGTACTTTACTTTTTTAAATCTAAATGCCCAGTCCATGGTGTGCTTGACCTGTTGGCTATATTATACAAATATATTATTCACTCTGTGGGTGATTCATGTTGTTACACTGTCTTCTGCTGACCAGGCAACTCCAGCCAGTCCCATAGCAAGTCCAGCTCCAGTTAAAACAGATCTTCAGTATAGAGCTGTAAGACTCATTGCTCTCCTGGTGAGGTATGATGAAAAATGGCTGCCCCAACAACCTCAAATGGTAAGAAAAATATAACTATCTCTTGGACAGATTTTTTTAATGAAATAGCTGGGTAAATCCTTCATTATATCTGATTTGATGAATTAGCTGGGAAAATGTATCTGATTTAATTCTTTGACCATTAAAATGTAAAATTTCTTGCTTGTTTTCCCAGAGAACCTTGCTCTTATCAATCTGGGTATCTGATGCCTTCTTGGAGCGCCATAAAGCTGTGGTTAGTTGCAACCCATTTATCCATCTTAGTACAACAAGTGTTAAATCGTTAAAGAAATATAAACCATATATCTTTTCCTACCTTGTAAAAAATTCTTTTAATAGAAATTTATTGCAAAAACAATTTTTTTGTTCTTTTTCATTAGGATGAACTTGATTATGTATATTGGAAGGAACCAGCCCTCATTTTAAAGTGCCTAGTCAATTATTTCAAGTAGGTTTAATTAGTTATTTTTAAAAAATTGTTGTTAGGTTTAAAAGAAAAAAATTAAGTCACAATTTAAACTTGAAATTGGATTCCAGGCACCACACAGATGACTGTGAACTACTTTTCCACATCCTCCGCTGCTTTGTGAACCGATTCATTCCACAGTTCCAGTTTGTTAAAGATTTTCTTGATGAAACTGTTGCTAAGGTCAGTTTTCTTGTCAACTAATTTTATTTGAAGAACTCTGCATTGTTTTACTTCACACAACTGTAGAAATGGTATAATCTAACATTAACTTAGTTTGTCTTCTCCTAACAGAACTACACTGCTGAATGGAAGAGAAAAGCTTTTTTTAAGTTTGTAGCTGTTTTCCATGATCAAAGCTGGCCACAGGAGCTCAAAGCAAAGGTAAAGTTTACACTATTATCAAGTTTGGACATTTTAAAACGATTTGCAATTTTGTTTATATTTTTAAAGGGTATGTTTTAATCAATATTTTGCATTTTAAATATATTTAGATACATTTACAGTATTTACTTTTGTAAAAACATAATAAAGATATTAACATGTTTGACTGATACATTTTAAAAGGTAACTGCTACATTTTACATTTTAAATCTAGCTTTGACAATTTTTGTATTTGATAAGTTTGAAGTGTAAAGCAACTGATGAATTATGTGGTAAATAACATTTGTTTTTTTTTTGTAGATCCTGCAGTACGTGCTGATCCCATGCTTCTACCACTCCTTTGAGAAAGGGGAAGGGGATAAACTCATTGGTGGGCCACCCGCGCCAGACCAGGATAATGATGAGAATGTCATCAGCATTTTCATCAACCGTATCATTGACCCAGAGAATCCCTTTGGTACATCTGATGCTGTGAGGATCTTGTTGCTACAGTTCTCCTCCCTGCTGGTGGAGCAGGCATCTTCACATATACATGATGCAGCTAACAAGTTAGTATGGATAGAAGTTTTAAACATTTAGGTGTACAAGGCTAGAATATAACAAGCATCTTCACATATACATGACGCAGCTAACAAGTTAGTATGGATAGAAGTTTTAAACATTTAGGTGTACAAGGCTAGAATATAACAAGCATCTTCACATATACATGACGCAGCTAACGAGTTAGTATGGATACAAGTTTTAAACATTTAGGTGTACAAGGCTTGAATATAACAAGCATCTTCACATATACATGACGCAGCTAACAAGTTAGTATGGATAGAAGTTTTAAACATTTAGGTGTACAAGGCTAGAATATAACAAGCATCTCCACATATACATGACGCAGCTAACAAGTTAGTATGGATAGAAGTTTTAAACATTTCGGTGTACAAGCCTAGAATATAACAAGCATCTTCTCATATACACGACACAGCTAACAAGTTAGTATGGTTAGAAGTACTTAAACATTTAAATGTACAAGGCTAGTATATAAAACCTATAAACCAGCTGAGTTTTAGTGCATTAGAAGCACTGGAGGGTATTATTACTGATCAGTGATTTGTGGTAAAAAAATTTTAATAATAATTCTTAATTATTAAAATATTCCTGTCAATACATTATTATCAATCATTTATTGCTTTTGGATATCAGCTGTATTCAAGTTATGGCAGTTCTAATTTATCTTTGTATAGACGTGATATATAACAAGCCAGTGTGAGTCACCCAGTCCTATTGCATGTTGCTCACATCACGTTCTGTACACTCATAAACTGGGAGACTCAGTGCTTAACACAATTATGGACAGTTTCCTTATACACCAGAAACTCAGTGTCCAACACCATTTCAGGAAACAGGGCAACAAACTGAGGAGGCTGATGACCTTTGCCTGGCCCTGCCTGGTGTCCAAAAACTGTGTGGATCCAGCAACCAAGTACCACGGCCATCTTCTGCTGGCACACATCATTGCCAAGTTTGCCATTCACAAGAGGATTGTCTTACAGGTCAGTTTAACAAACTCTTAACCAATTTTTAAGGCCGATACTCTCATAGTACTTTCCATAGTTTCCTCTGACAATTTCAATGTTTCATTTATATAAGACAGACTGTTATTAATTTTAACACTGACCATTTAATGATGCTCCCATATTTGGTCTACTTTTAAACAGGTTGTTTACCTCTATAAATATACTTTTACAAGATAACCCTAATATACTGCTGATCCTATTTCAACAGGTGTTCCATAGCCTTCTTAAAGCCCATGCTAATGAAGCTAAGATGGTAGTACGACAGTCTCTTGAGTACTTAACGCCAGCCATGCCAGGGCGTATGGAAGATGGAAATGTATGTATTCAAATTTGTACCTGAATTTGTTTCTCTCTTATTCCATTGTTTTTATACTTTTTCTGTATAAAACAATTCCTTGTGAATTAATGTATTTTTACAACCAAACTCTGTTCTGTTCAGGGTATGCTGACACATTGGACAAAGAAAATAATAGTTGAAGAAGGCCACAGTGTTAACCAATTGGTTCATATCCTGTAAGTACTACATATTTGTTAGAACTACAAACTCAGAAAACTTAAATGTTAAGAATTATTAAATCAGATTTTAAAAGAAACATTTGTTTACACTGTGGTGTTTATAACTTACAGACAACTGGTAGTCAGACATTACAAAGTGTACTACCCAGTTAGGCACAGCTTGCTCCAGCACATGGTTAGCTCCCTGCAACGTCTTGGTTTCTCTCTCAGTGTAAGTATATTTTTATATAGGATCCCTAAGGTGCTAAAAAAATGCAATAAATAACATTTTAAATTATCAAAGTAAAAAAAGCTATCTGTATATATTTGCTTCTGATTTTATATATTTTGTTATATTGTATGTTTAGGCAAGTTTGGAGCACCGTAAACTCGCAGTTGATCTGGCTGACATTATAATCAAGTGGGAGCTGATGAGGATCAAGGAGGAACAAGAAGGGAATGGAGAACCTCAGGTTGTTGCCTCAGTACTTTTAGACCAACATGTATCAAATTGAAACAGTTGTGTAAGTCTATTTTAATTGTAAGATGATCATTGGGTTAAAGAGTAAATTTGTTGTTTCAGTCCCCCAACCCAGAAGGGGGCTCAACTCCTGGTTCAACATCCTCTGGGACAGCTGCTGCTCAGGCCCCAGCCATCAAACGTTCATTGTCTTCAGTCAACTCCCCACAGGAACCAAAGAAAGTCAAGGCTGCAGGAACAGTCAGTAGACTTTTATTTCATAGTTCATACATTGTTTCAGTTGTATTTAAAAAAACATCAGTTAGCTGTGTTCACCAGGACTATGTGCATTATCACCAGGCTACTATAACTATTTCAGGCTGGTAGATCTGATGTCAATAAACCTATAGACAAACAGTACTGTGATGCTGTGGCTAATTTCTTGCTCCGCATTGCTTGCCAGGTAATATTTTAAATCTTCAAATAATGCTCCAACAGTTTTGTTTTAATTTTCTTTTACATACCATTAATCAAAGGTTTTTTTTTTTGTATTTTTGTTTCATCCTTAAAAAAACTTGAAACTTATTTTATTTTGTAGTTCAATGTGGAATTGTTTTTCTCTGTTAATGACATTAAAATTGTGTGGTATTTAACTGATTGAAATTTTTTAATGAGAATCTTAACTTAAAGCATGTAATATTTTGTGATGTTTGCAATGCTTTAAATGAGTTTAACATTTGGGGTATAATAAGGTTGGATTATTTGGCCAGTAGTTTCTGGCTGTGTCAAATCGCATAGGTTTATACCAATGTGTCATTTTTTGTTGCCAACCACACTTATTTCATTTACCAAGTCTCTTTCAAAAAACATCAAAGTGTTTCCATCAGTTTGAGTACCACATAAAACAACCAACCATTAGAACAACCTGCACCCAGTTAGTTTTAATCAGACCCTGCTTGATCACCACGCACAGGTGAACGAAGCAGCCAGTGGGGCAGTAGGTCACAGCTCTGCAGGTGAGATGTTGTCCAAACGCTGCGTGGCCCTCCTCAAGCTGACCATGAGACCTGACGTCTGGCCAAACGTTGATTTGAAGCTCAGTTTCTTTGACAAGCTCTTGAGCACAGCCACAAGTGCCCAGCCCAACATCAGCAACATTGTTGTGGCCCTTGAACTGCTGGAGTTCCTCATTGGAAATATGGTAGGCTGATTTCACTTCAAAATTTTTTTTAAACCTATTTACAAGAATATTTTATTGTTTGAAGACAATAAACAATCAAATACTAGACATCTACATAAAAAATTTTTAATTCTTTCTTACTAATGGATAAATGTTATCCTTGTATCTCACCAATATTCCTTTCTTTTGTTTTTTACTAAAGTTTATATTACTCTTGTAGAAGAAGGAAATGATCCTGTCTAGCTTCAAGCCACTCCAAAGGGGGATCTCTATGTGCATGAACTGTAACAACATCAAAGTGATACGGGCAGTGCACAAGCTGTTGATGAGCTTGATGAGTATTTTCCCCACAGAATCTGCCAACTGTTCAGTAGCTTCAAAGTATGAGGAGCTGGAGGCCCTGTATGCTTGTGTTAGTAAACTCATCTATGAGGGGCTTACCAATTATGACAAGTGAGTTTGTTTTTAGACTATACAAGCCAAGTATGGGTAGCTGGGTAGCATGGTATTTAGCATACAGATGCAAAACCAAATTTCTTGAGTTCATGTGCTTGTTTATCAGCCTCAGCTCTTTTGTGTACCTGATTAGATTCATGGTTAAGGCAGCAGAGCTTAGTGTTTACTACTTAATCCATTCAAATGGTAATATCGAAAAAAATGTATTTAATCTGCTCTTTGAACGGTCATCGTTGAAACCTAATAAAATAAAACACATGGACATATTCAAGAATCTATTGAAAATACTGGACTTAACGATGGTGTAACAAATTTCTTTCAGGAACAATGGTGGCACCCCATCACTGTTCAGCACCCTTATGATCCTGAAATCCGCCTGTGAAAACAACCAGTGCTACATTGACCGCCTGATCACCATCTTCATGAAAGTTTTAACCAAGATGACCCATGAGCACTTGAAAAATCAGGAGACCACTCAGGCCAATAGAGCCACACCAGCCACCACAGTGGCCACCGCTGCTGCGGCCGCCGCCGCTGCTGCTGCTGCAGCTGTCCAGGACACAGAGAAAGGTAAGTGTGACACCATTGGTCTACCTTCTACCTCACTAACTACAATATAAGTCAGAAAATAGTGCATTCAGATGGATAGGTATTTATAATCTAAGACGTGTAGTTCCTTTGGCTACTGTAGGTGGGTCCAGTGAGCTGCTCATTCTGAGCTTGGATCTGGTGAAGAATAGAGTGGGTGTCATGAGCCAAGAAATGAGGAAGTCGTTTATCGGCAACATTCTTGCTGGATTGATTGAAAGGACTGGAGACTCCAAAGTCATGCGAGCTATAACTAAAATGGTGGAAGACTGGATTAAAAACAAGGTATTAGAATATTTCTTTCTTAACATGTAATTTATCATTAATATACATTAGCAATGACAATTTTATCTAACATGAAAAGTCGAGCTGTGTATAAATTATATTTTCAATTTTTTTTTCCCCGCAGTCCACCATAGCTATCAACCAGTCACCATCGACCAGAGAAAAATGCATCCTTTTATCTAAACTCATGAGCAACATAGAGAGAAGGTTCCCTGCTGATATTGAGTTGAACTCGCAGTTCCTGGATTTGGTACTATTTATTTACAGGTACTTAACTCTGGACCTCATGTATTTGTTGGGTGTAACTAGAGTAACATTGGGACATGGATGTCTTTTAAAACATTGTTATATGTTACACTCTTTATTTCAGAGATAAAGATCTGGAGCGATCGGATTTGACCACAAAATTAGAAAATGCTTTCTTGGCAGGTCTGAGGTGCAATCAGCCCCACATCAGGCAAAAGTTTCTGGAGGTTTGTTACATAAACTTGTTCTGCTTTAAATCTACCATTAAAACAATAGGTAACTATTCACTTTGTTAAAAAAAATGTACCAATAAAACATTGAATACTAATGGATATATACTTTTGTTTAGACGATGGAAAAGAGCATTCCTAGAAAAGTGTTTGATCGTCTGCTGTACATCATGTGCTCCCAGAACTGGGAGAATATGGGAACTTATTTCTGGATCAAACAAGCTCTTGAGGTGAGGTGTACATAGAAAGCTATTACCTCCAACATTTGGTTAGATATGATGATGAAGCTTACTCAAGATTTCTCTTCCAGTTCGTACTTCTTCTGTACTAATAAATTAAACAAAGATTTTTGTTAATGTTTTGAACAGCTGATCCTGGGTGTGTCCTTGAACACAACTATCATTCAGAGTTCATCGCCCATGAATTTGTTGCCCAGTGCTGGGTCTGTCATCAACTTGGCTGACTCCCAGGAGAGAGCAGATTTTGCAGCTTTGACTAAAGTGAAGGAAGAGCCCATGGATGTGGAGTCACTTGACAGCACCAAGGAGGAGGTGAGTTGATGGCACCTAGAATGAGATGGAACAATAGAACAACTTTGGGGCATGTTGATGACATGCGTAAAAAAAAAATTTAAACATCATTTAAGTAATGATAACCATTTGCTGGCTTTCACTATAAAGGTGTTCATAAATGCAAATGTTTTTGTTCTGCCTGTAGTTTTCATTTTAATTCCTGATATTTAAAAAAAAAAGCCCTGATCGGTGCCTATTGTGGCCCAAGAAATTCTGTGGTGGTGTTATGATTCTGTTTGACAATCCCAATTAATAGTTATCTAAGACTATTCTTTATACATAAATTAATAGCACAATTTTAATGATTAGATGGACTACTTTCTATTTAAAGCATTAAATTTAAAATGATTGTTGGTTTATTATGAAGATTTAACAAAACTAAAATGTCATTTATTTTACATTTTCAGCGTTATTATATTAGTATATAGTTTAGTTTTAAAGACTCATTTGAGTTTTTAGTCTTAACATATTTTTATATAACTCTTTAAAAAAGTTTTAAAAACTTTATTATGTACTACACAACATTGTATAACATGTCTGAAATGCTCACATTGTTTCAAATTAAGTGCCAGAAAACCATATTATTTTGCCTTAAGCTTTATGATTTCTATTTCTGTTGCAGGAAGACATGGAACTGGAGCTAACATCAGAAGGAAGTGATGAAACTCCAAAAACTGTGAAAAAAGAAACAGGCCAGACCCTAAAGACCCTGCTCAGCCGTGAAGCAAAGTTCCTGGATAACTGCAAGGAAGTCAAGGTTGTAAAACATTTTTTATTTTATTTATTTAGCCTCCTGTTAGGAAAATTAAATAATTCACTAAAGAGTTGTTTTTTTTTTAAAAATGTTTGAATATTTTGTTTCATTGTCTTATTATTTTGGTGTCTTTTAAAATATAAAATGATTTCCTGCTAGACCCATGAATACCTGGAAGCATTGTGTCAGCTGTCCCATAATTCCACTGACTTGGCTCACACCACATGGCTTGATCTGTTTCCCAGAATTTGGAAAATTCTAGCAGACAAACAGCAGGAGGTGAGATACCTGGTTTTGTTATTCAACTTATCACATTATTAATTTTTTTTACAGTTTTGCTTATACTGACAAAATTTAACTTTTATTTTGTTGAGTATTCATAAAAGAGCTCACCCAATGGTTTTCATCAAACATGAGACTGCCATGAAAGAATTAACTCTTTTTGTCTGTCGCAGAGAGTAAAAAAGGAGCTGGTGCCCTTCTTGACCAGTGGCTCTCATGTGACACAACGTGACTGCCACCCTAGTGCAGTACACACTCTGGTGGAGGGTATTGCCTTGTGTGTGCCCCCTATAAATATCAAAGCTTGTGCTCTAAAGGTAACGTTTACAATTACAAGGATCATACCTAATGCAAAACCTGCACTTCCCATAAGTAATTGCTGTTATTCTACTTAAAGCTCAGATAGAATTTCCACTGACTTGAAACTGTAATTTATTTTTGTTTACTTTCAGTACCTGGCCCGCACCCACAACCTGTGGCACAGGAGCTGTCTACTCCTGGAACATGCTGTCTTTGACAGCTCACAGCCTGCTATTGCCAGATCAGCGGCTAACGAGTATGATTTTGAACCACCACCTGTGTTTCCACATCAGGTAAACATTTGCATCTCACAAAATACATTTTTGTAGCTGGCATTCTAGTACGTTTTAACCAATTGATAAAAATGTTTATACAACCATTCAGGAAACACTAGATTGCCTGTATGAGCTACTGCAAGAAAAAATTTCATCCAGTTGATAAAAATGTTTATACAACCATTCAGGAAACACTAGATTGTCTGTATGAGCTACTGCAAGAAAAAATTTCATCCAGTTGATAAAAATGTTTATACAACCATTCAGGAAACACTAGATTGTCTGTATGAGCTACTGCAAGAAAAAATTTCATCCAATTGATAAAAATGTTTATACAACCATTCAGGAAACACTAGATTGTCTGTATGAGCTACTGCAAGAAAAAATTTCATCCAATTGATAAAAATGTTTATACAACCATTCAGGAAACACTAGATTGTCTGTATGAGCTACTGCAAGAAAAAATTTCATCCAATTGATAAAAATGTTTATACAACCATTCAGGAAACACTAGATTGTCTGAATGAGCTACTACAAGAAAAAAAATTTCATCCAATTGATAAAAATGTTTATACAACCATTCAGGAAACACTAGATTGTCTGTATGAGCTACTGCAATAAAAAAAATTCAGCCAATTGATAAAAATGTTTATACAACCATTCAGGAAACACTAGATTGCCTGTGCGAACTGTATGAGTTGCTACAAGAGGAGGACATGTTTGTTGGAGTCTGGCAGAAGAGGGCCAAGTACTCAGAAACCAACACAGCATTGGCCTACATGCAGCATGGGTTCTTTGAGCAGGCTCAGACAACATTTGAAGGGGTAGGCTTTGTTTTTACATTGAACTTCCCAAAAATCATTATAAAATTTTAATTAGTGAATGTTATTCTGTCATATAGGAAAATAAACACCTTTCTTTATCCATACATACAACTGATTAAGTTAAAATAAAGATGTTGGAACCATTTTGAATTGACTTAACCTTGCAACACAAAATTTTTTTAATATATTGAAATGTGCCCACATTTTCCCAATCTACACGTGCAATTTATTCTAAAATGATTTATGTTAGATAGTCATAGATTGTGATATTTCTTTTATACATCCGTAGAATAAGTGATAAAAAAGATCAGTTGTTGGATTAAATGAAATAAAATTAAAACTTGAACTTATTCCAATCCACCATTAACCTTTTACAACTTGTTTAGGTGATGGCTAAAATTCGAATGGACCACAACACAGCCCCCACACCTAGAGATGGATGGCAAGAGCTAAGGCTGATTGAGAATAGTTGGATTAAGTAAGGCTTTGACTTCTTACTTTACACAATGTTTAATATTGTTTTTGCTGCTGGCCCACTAATTGATCTGTTTAAATTATATCAGATGTGCGAAAGAACTGAACCAGTGGGATAACCTGCTGGAGTATGCCAACTCTCGTGGGAATGTCATTCCTGAACTTATTCTTGACTGTGCTTGGAGAGTTCCTAATTGGCCACTGATGAAAGATGCACTCAGCCGAGTATGTACCAATAAAAGTCTATCTTTTAGTTAAGTGACAGGGTGACTTCAACACAGCTGTATAGTCAAACTTTTAATTCTAGTTATTTTAGCATATTTTTAAAAAATATTTCATTTTAGTAAGCTTATCAGTTGTTTTTTTTTAACAAAAAATTTTTTTTAATTTGCTTCATTTAAACATTTTTAAAGAATTTATAATTTTGTATCTAAAACAAGAAAATCCTTTATTACAGTTAATCAGAAATAATAAAAAAGTAATTTTTAAATGAAGCAAATTTCTGCAAGATCAAAACCATAAGAACTAGCGTAACCAAGATAAAATTTTTAGCATGCCCCTCCCCAGGTGGAAGGCAACTTTAAGAGGGAACTACAGTGGAAGATAAATCTGTACAAGGGATACCTGGCCATCTGTCATTCAGAAGACCATCACCTTAATCCTCAGCAGGTAGAAAAAGTACAGATTTTTATTCAAATTATACTTATTAAACTTGTTTCTAGACCATGATTAAGTATACAATAAATGTCTTTTTTGCAAGTTATAACACAAAATCTTTTCTTTAACATCTTTCAGTTTTGAAATGTTTTTAAAATCACTTTAGATTGAGCGCCTAGTAGAGACTTGTGGCAATCAGGTCATCAAAGAATGGAGAAGGTTGCCAAACATTGTTTCACAGATACATGTCCAGTATCTGCAAGTGAGTCAGACATCATTTTTAAAAATTCTAAACTCCAAGAGACAACAATTAGTAACCTGTTGTATAGTTACCAGTCCACCATGTTGGAAAAAGACACTATTTTGTGAAATTTTTTTAGGCTGCTCAGATGATCATGGAGCTTCAAGAGGCCGCTCAGATTAACCAGGGCCTTCAGCCTGCCAACATATCTCGTACCTCCAGCGTACATGACATGAAGGCCATTGTTAAAACATGGAAGTCAGTACTAGTATACACTTTTCTACTCTTTTCATGGTTGATTTATAGATTTTCAGCTTCTTCAAAACTTGTCTAAAGTTTTCAGCTTTTATAATTTTTTACTTACAAAATTCAAAATTTCCTAATTTAAAATATAAGATTAGAAACAATCCAATATAAGGTTTTAATAAAACTAAAATATATCTACATATAGGCCTATAGAGTATATTATTTTATTGGTATTATGGCTTATTTTTTAAATTTATTTTCCGTTAGAAACCGTCTGCCCATGATATCTGATGACCTTTCACACTGGAGTGACATCTTCACCTGGAGACAGCACCACTATCAGTTTATCATTCAACATTATGAAAGCCAAGCTCCTATGGAGAATGTAATATTTTTATTACTTTACTCTTGTAATAATTGTGCTGTTGTAAACATATCCTTAATGTTATAATCTAGAATAAAATAGCCTGTTAATACTCTGACACTTTCCCATCCAGAACACCAACTCCATGCTGGGTGTACATGCCACAGCCCAGTCCATCATTCACTTTGGAAAGATTGCTCGCAAACATGGACTCATTGGTGTCAGCCTAGACACTCTCAGCCGGTAAGGTTCTGTACCAGCGTTGCTTTTCTGGCAGATCTGGTGTATTACAATCAGTATTTTTTACTGCTACTTTTGTCATCACTTTTATACATCATTATCACCAGTGTTGACTGTCCCATTATTTCACCAGTATTGATTGTCCCATTATTTTCCCAGTATCACCAGTGTTGACTGTCCCATTATTTCACCAGTATCACCAGTGTTGACTGTCCCATTATTTCACCAGTATCACCAGTGTTGACTGTCCCATTATTTTCCCAGTATCACCAGTGTTGACTGTCCCATTATTTCACCAGTATCACCAGTGTTGACTGTCCCATTATTTCACCTGTATCATCAGTGTTGACTGTCCCATTATTTTCCCAGTATCACCAGTGTTGACTGTCCCATTATTTGTATCACCAGTGTTGACTGTTCCATTATTTGTATCACCAGTGTTGACTGTTCCATTATTTCCCCAGTATCTACAGTATAACCAGTGTTGACTGTCCCATTATTTCACCAGGGTAGACTGTCCCATTATTTCACCAGTATTGACTGTCCCATTATTTCACCAGTATTGACTGTCCCATTATTTCACCAGTATCACCAGGGTTGACTGTCCCATTATTTCACCAGTGTTGACTGTCCCATAATTTCACCAGTATCACCAGTGTTGACTGTCCCATTATTTCACCAGTATCACCAGGGTTGACTGTCCCATTATTTCACCAGTGTTGACTGTCCCATTATTTCACCAGTGTTGACTGTCCCATTATTTCACCAGTGTTGACTGTCCCATTATTTCACCAGTATTGATTGTCCCATTATTTTCCCAGTATCACCAGTGTTGACTGTCCCATTATTTCACCAGTATCACCAGTGTTGACTGTCCCATTATTTTCCCAGTATCACCAGTGTTGACTGTCCCATTATTTGTATCACCAGTGTTGACTGTTCCATTATTTCCCCAGTATCTACAGTATCACCAGTGTTGACTGTCCCATTATTTCACCAGTATCACCAGTGTTGACTGTCCCATTATTTTCCCAGTATCACCAGTGTTGACTGTCCCATTATTTCACCAGGGTAGACTGTCCCATTATTTCACCAGTATTGACTGTCCCATTATTTCATCAGTATTGACTGTCCCATTATTTCACCTGTATCACCAGGGTTGACTGTCCCATTATTTCACCAGTGTTGACTGTCCCATAATTTCACCAGTATCACCAGTGTTGACTGTCCCATTATTTCACCAGTATCACCAGTGTTGACTGTCCCATTATTTCACCAGTATCACCAGTGTTGACTGTCCCATTATTTCACCAGTATCACCAGTGTTGACTGTCCCATTATTTCACCAGTATCACCAGTGTTGACTGTCCCATTATTTCACCAGTATCACCAGTGTTGACTGTCCCATTATTTCACCAGTATCACCAGTGTTGACTGTCCCATTATTTCACCAGTATCACCAGTGTTGACTGTCCCATTATTTCACCAGTATCACCAGTGTTGACTGTCCCATTATTTCACCAGTATCACCAGTGTTGACTGTCCCATTATTTCACCAGTATCACCAGTGTTGACTGTCCCATTATTTCCCCAATGTTGACTGTCCCATTATTTCACCTGTATCACCAGTGTTGACTGTCCCATTATTTCACCAGTATCACCAGTGTTGACTGTCCCATTATTTCACCAGTATCACCAGTGTTGACTGTCCCATTATTTTCCCAGTATCACCAGTGTTGACTGTCCCATTATTTTCCCAGTATCACCAGTGTTGACTGTCCCATTATTTCACCAGTATCACCAGTGTTGACTGTCCCATTATTTCCCCAATGTTGACTGTCCCATTATTTCACCTGTATCATCAGTGTTGACTGTCCCATTGTTTCCCCAGTATACACAGTATCACCAGTGTTGACTGTCCCATTATTTCCCCAGTATACACAGTATCACCAGTGTGCCAGTAGTTGACTGTTTCCAGAAGGTCAGACAACAGGTCAAGTGCTACATGCATATGGGGGGCTCACTAAATAAAAGTGAATTCACCGAGGTGAGACTTTTTGTTCACTTTATAGACATTATCACCATCCATATAGCTGGTATTATGGTTAGAATTAAAGTGTAGGATAAGGGTTTTGGTTGAATATTGTCACATTTGGGGTTACTGTATTTGTATTAGGATACTAGCAAAGAGAATATAAGTGACTAATTCTCAAGAATTTATCTTTTATATTTGTAATACACCATAAACTGATTAGCTGACATGCCTATCTCAAATATAATTTTTTAACAATTAAAGCTATAATTATGTTTTGATGATGTTGGATAGCCATATTATATTTTGTGGCAAGACTTGTCAAAAATAAACATCTGAGTCAGGCATGTTAGCAGCTATAAAATGAAGACCAACACTGAAATGCACCATTTAAGAATTTTAGTCTTACTTACAGGGCTTGGATGTGATTGAAGTGACCAACCTAAAGTTCTTCACCAAAGAGATGATGGCTGAGTTATATGCCATGAAGGGCTACTTCCTGCAACACCTGAACCGCTCCGAAGAGGCCAACAAGGTGTTTGCCGCTGCTGTCCAGCTCCACGACTGCTTGGTCAATGCCTGGGCTCTGTGGGGAGAATATCTGGAGGCCATGTTCACCAGAGACAGGTCATTCTCTTAGCTCTAGAGCTTCTGGAATCTTAGTTCTTGTCATATTTTTTTGTTTCTGACGTAGTCGTTAGCTTAAGTAAAATGTCATAATATTTTACTCCCGAAACTTGTTTTAGTTTTTAGCTCTAGAAATTTGTAGTTAAGCTCTCAATATTTACTCGGTTTTTTTTCAAAACCATTATTGTTTTGTTATTTAGCTTTTAAAATAATTTTTAAATCTCTTGAAGTTAGCTGTGTGAAAAATTTTTAAATTTTTTAAAATGTATGCATGAATCCAGCATTAAAGCCTGTGTTCTCACTCTGACAGGGTAATGGAGCTAGGTGAAGGGGCTACCATTTGCTACCTACATGCTTGTCGTTCCTCCATTGAGGGCCGGACACGCAAATACCTGGCCAAAGCTATTTGGCTGCTGACCTATGATGATGAGAACTTGACCATAGCCAACACGCTGGACAAACACCACCAGGGTATTTTAGCCATCCACTGGCTGCCATGGTATGTTGAAATCTTGTTTGGTGACTTTATTTAACTAATTGTAAAAATAAGCTGTAATAGTTAAGAACACTTGTACAAATAAATTCCGTAATACATTCTATTTAAGTTAATTAAATTTCCTTTGATTAGGATTCCCCAGCTACTGACCTGTTTGGTACGCAAGGAAGGCAAACTGATCATGAATCTCCTGACAACTGTGGGGCGCATGTACCCACAGGCTGTTTACTTCCCCATCAGGACTTTGTACTTCACCCTCAAGCTTGAGCAGAGGGAGAGACGTGAGTTGTTTCCATTCTTGGTAGTTGGCTTTGTTTTTATGGTGTCTTGAGCTTTGTCTGATAGGTTTGATTGTTAAAAACTCTTTATAACAGCTGCCACAAATCTGTGTGTAACAAATGTGTTTATTGAATTTTGTCCAGACAAGAGAGCTGGCATAGACCCCAACAGAGCAGCAACTCCCAGCACTACTGGAGCAACCAGCACAACTCCAGCCACAGCTGCCACGCCCACCGTTACCATGGCAACCACACCAACAACCCCTGGGCAGAATCTTGGTGAAGGCTTGCTTGGAGTCCTGGGTGGGTCAGTGGTTTCAGGTTTGTGGCACATTTCTGTTTTTAAGTAATTTACTATTTTTTTTACCAGTTTTTTCCTGCTTGTTATTGACTGTTGTTTGGCTGTTGTTGCTTTAGATTTCCTGGCGAGTGTGACAGCCAACAGCACAACCCAGGCTTCAACTGGAGGCCAGACAGCTACAACCCCAAGACCAGATGCCTCAGGGTCAGAGACTGGGCCAATCAAGGCACCAGACTCCATGTGGCGTTGCTCTAAGATCATAGCCACACAGCGGGATGCCCACCCCACTGTTCTCACCACACTTGAAGGCATTGTTGAACAGGTGAGAAAATTTCATATTAAATTGGTTCGTTTAATAAAGATAAATAGTATATTTTATTGTAAATAAATTTTATTACAGATGGTTTGGTTTAGAGAGAACTGGTATGAAGAGGTTTTGCGCCAGTTAAGACAAGGATTAGAGAAATGTTATGGTGTTGCGTTTGAAAATCGGGCATCAGGTATTTTCAAAGTTTGATCTGCAAAAAAAAATTACAAAATGTCTTAAAAGTAATATCATACTCTTTTTTGTAAATTTGTATTCTCTTTCCGTACTTCAAAGTGAGTACTTTCTAATTTTTTGTTACATTTTTTTCTTTTCTTCTCACAAGTAACTGAAGCAACCATCACGCCACACACTCTGAACTTTGTGAAAAAACTTGTCAGCACTTTTGGTGTTGGTGTAGAAAATGTCTCCAACACTGCCTCATTTAGTGGTGCTGCCTCTGAGTCTCTGGCTCGTAGAGCTCAGGCCACTGCCCAGGATCCTGTTTTCCAGAAGATGAAGAGTCAGTTTACTACTGATTTTGATTTCAGGTGAAGATTCCTTATTCTTTTGCTTATAATTTTTTATGTTTGAAAAGGGTTTTTTAAATTATACTTTTACATCAATAATGAAAAACTATTTTTTTTAAATAGTGTGCCTGGGTCAACAAAGCTGCACAATCTTATCAATAAATTGAAGAAATGGATAAAAATCTTGGAAGCTAAAACAAAACTGTTCCCCAAGTAAGTAACAATTCAATGATTGTCTGGTTTACCATTTCATTTCAAACTTCATGTAAATACTTACGCAGATTTATATTTCTAGAAGAAATTTTTACTTAAGTTATTTGAAGTGTAATCCTGCTTAAAATTTACTACTGTAAAAAATTTTTTTAGATCATTCCTGATAGAAGAAAAATGTAGTGTGTTGAGTAACTTCACATCCAGTACAGCAGAGATTGAAATGCCAGGAGAATTTCTGCTGCCCAAGGTATGTTGCTGTTACAAATGTATGGTTCCTGTGTTAGAATGAATGGTCCTTGTTTATGAATTTTTATGCCTGTGAAAATCATTTCTGCTTAGATAATTACTTGCTATTGTTTTATGAATGTTTAAAGTTTCTTAATTTTGAATTACCCAAATGTGTTTCAGCACAACCATTACTATGTGAGAATAGCCCGCTTTATGCCTAGAGTTGAGATTGTTCAGAAACACAACACTGCTGCGCGAAGACTTTACATCCGTGGTCAGAATGGCAAGGTAAGTAACATATTTATATTTTTACTTGATTCAATTATTTTTTTTTACTTGGGTAAATTTGAAATCATCAGATTTCTTTTTAGCTGATTTTACGAGTTTTTTTTTTTACTTGATTTAACTTGCTTGAATAAATTAAAACAGGAATATCCATACCTCATTGTAAATGATGGATGCCTCATTGAGTCTAGAAGGGAGGAAAGAACTCTACAGCTGTTGAGGATGTTAAATCAGTTTCTTACCAAACAGAAGGTATATCTTTAAGAAAGTGTTTCATTATTTATCATGTTTTCATTTTTACTTTTTATTCTAATCAGTTGTGTGAATGTAGAAATTCTTGAAATAAAATAGTGTTTCTTTAAGTTAGTTTAGAGTTTGTACAAAATTGTTTTAAATTTTCATCAGGAAACTAGTCGCAGACTGCTGTACTTCACTGTGCCAAGAGTTTTGTCAGTTTCTCCCCAGTTGCGCCTGATTGAGGATAACCCAGCATCAGTCTCACTTTTGGATATTTACAAACAGGTATTGTACATCTACCTACATGTATTTTACGTACCAAAATATGTACCATTTTCATGGCACATCCATTGTTTTTTATTTTTTAATTATATAATGGAATGGAACATGTCTTTTTTTTTCAAACATTTTCCAAATGTCAATTTAAAGTTTTACTAATGAGATCCCATACATTTATTTTGTCTCTAGCGAACAAGTAAACGTGGCATTGAACATGATGCCCCCATTGCACGCTATTATGAGAGACTTGCCACTGTACAAGCCCGTGGCTCTCAGGCTTCCCATCAAGTTTTAAGGGACATTCTTAAAGAGGTCCAAACTAATATGGTCCCAAGAGGCTTGCTTAAAGAATGGGCTCTTAATACCTTCCTGGATGCTACTGACTACTGGACCTTCAGAAAAAGTGTAAGTAATTTATGCATTTATACACTGAATAACTGTTTTCAACAAATGTTATATCCAAGTGAATAATCAAAAAAAAATTCCAATTTTAAAAGCATACACAATTTTAAATTGCCACTTTAGGTGACCAATATTTTAAAATTGCTTGATATTCCAGTTGACGATCCAGCTTGCTCTGATGGGTTTAGCAGAGTTTGTTTTCCACCTGACCCGCATGAACCCAGATCAGATGTACCTTCACCAGGACTGTGGCTATTTGAGCATCTCCTTCTTCAAGTTTGATGTGGATGACCAGACTGGTAGGATGCAACTTAGGATGTTTCTTAGCTTAACAAAAATAGTTGGTGCTGTTTGAAATTTAAGCCACTTCAACTACTAAGTAAAATTACTTTACGTTACACTGATTTATCCATTTATAAAAATTAATTGATCTGGATGAAAATAGGCCTGTAATAAACAAATTAATTTGTGAAAGATTTTTTAGGTGATATAGATAAAAATAGGCCAGTTACTTATAAATTAAATTATATTTTTCAGGTGACCTGGATGCAAACCGACCTGTTCCATTTAGACTGACCCCCAACATTGCGGAGTTCCTGACCTATACTGGTGTCATTGGTCCTTTGACCGCAGCCATGGTCTCAACAGCTCGCTGTCTTGTACAGCCACAGTACAAGCTGCCGTCTTTCTTGAGGACCATCTTGAGGGATGAGTACATCACTTGGCACAAGAAGGTTTGTCTGAATCATTTATCATTAAACTGTTTTAAAATAAATTCAAAGGTAACTTAAGTGTTTTGATATACATTTATTTTGGAGAATTTTAATTAGCTAATATTTGGCCTTTTCTGGTAAAGTAATTTATTTTGAAATGAACAGAAAATGGAAGAGAGCAATCCTTTAGAGGAGCCACCAGACATGGAAGGGGAGCAACTTGTGAATCTGGTCAACAAGGCTGTGGCTGCCATAACAACAAGGGTGCAGAGTAAGTTGTTTACATTTTCTGTCCTTGTATCTTCCACACCAGTCACATTCTTGTTACTGAACATGTAACCCTCTCAGTACTTAAGCAGCTAATAGAAACTTACCTTTAGTTTCTTAACCCACTGAATTAAAAAATTCATTAAAAATAAATAAAACAGAAAATTGCAGAGAAATTTGACAATAATTATTTCTAATAATATCAAACAAGGGTGACCTTTGAAAATTGGATGATATCCAGTATGCTTAATGAATTTTAGCGTTAATTAACATGTAAAATAAATCTTGAATGAAGTTAAAATCTGGTATGGGACATCAAGACTTTAAACTAATTCACCTTTAATAACTACTAGTTCACAACCTAATTCTTAATTGTTATTGGCAATACCATTCAAGATCAGTGATTCAAGAAAAGCACACATTTTGTGACTGCCTGTTAAAAAGAAAACTCTTTTTAAAAATATAATACAAAGTAGTATAAAATCAAATACAGCTAATAAACTGCAACAAAAATGACTAACAATAGCTTGAGAATTTCTGTTGATTCATTTCAAAACTCCATAATAAGTAGTTCCATTCACTATGTCAGGCTTAAAATGGAATGGTTTTTATGGCCAGATTTGGGCAAAAACCATAACACAACTGAGAGGGTTAAGGGTAATAACCTAGCTGTCATGTAATGTTAATAGTGTCAGAAATATTTTTCCCCATATGTAAAATGTTTCTAAAATTTGATTATTTCAATAACTTTCTTCTTAGACCTGGCCTCTTTTGAAGGGGCAGAGAGCAGAGTGAGTACCCTAGTTACAGCGGCCACTAATACAGACAATCTCTGTCGCATGGACCCTGCATGGCACCCTTGGTTGTAGACAAAGACCATGGATCTGTTGCGACATAACCAGGACCACATTTGCTCCAGTTGTATTCAATCAGTTAAAGGCAGCTAGTGTTCAGAACATGTTTTTATTTGTTTTTGTTTTTTTTTAAATAATTTTTTAATGTCTTTTGTTCATTTTTTAATATCATGTATAATTTTATCTGCAATTAAGTCATTAAGTCTGAATGTTGTTTGTACCATTTATAGTTTTTAATTTTTTTCTGTATAGTGTTGAGTAGAAAACTTTTAATCTTGTCAAACATTCTTATGTTATAACATGAATGATATTACTTTGTTATTAAAATAATAATTTTAGGTGTTTATTTATGAATGTCAATACATACAATTAAATCTTATTGTTAAATTTATATAATTAGAACATTTTGATGAATTTAAATCAAAAGACAAATGAATGTGTTGTAAATTTTGTTGTTGCCCTCAAACTGTCAGTAATTTAATGTTCATTTTTCATGTAAAACTCTTGATATTTTTGCAATGCCATAAGTTGACACAGCATTATTTACAGGAAGGTATACTTTAAATTGGTTATTAATTGATAGTAGTAATGAAAAATAATTGTATTAGTAATGAGTTGTAATTCTGTATTAGATGTAAATTTTATTTTCTTGTTAAAAATTCTTGAATGATGTATATTAAGATGTTGAGATTGTGTGTTAATGAGTACAAATAAAGGTTTTTCAATAATTTGTCCACTCGATTTTTGTGTGCTAGCAAAGTAAGACTTGTAATGTCTTGAGCTTTTTATAGATTCAGCATGAAATTATCACATGCCTCAGAGTAGCTACCATGATACCAGTTTTTGGAAGAAGCTCTGATTTGAAATCTGTTGTACTCCTTTTTTTGGTTCAGAGATGTAGAGATTATATACATACATACATACATATATATATTATATATATATATATATTATATATATATATTTATATTATATATATATATTTATATTATATATATTTATATTATATATATATATATTATATATATATATATATATATATATATATATATTTATATTATATATAGGCCTATATATATATATATTATATATATATATATGTTATATACATATATATATATACATACATATATATATACACATATATATATATACATACATATATATATACACACATATATATATATACACACATATATATATACACACATATATATTCATACAAATATATATACATATATATATATACATACACACATATAATATAAAAAAATCTGTTAAGGACCATGATTTATGTGTTTATTGAGCAGCATATACCTGACATTGCCCGGGTGTAGGAAATATATTAGTTTTCGAATCAACCCTAACCAAAACGCAAATACAAACGAAAACACAAACAGAAATAACGTCACACTCATAGAGGGAGGTATGGGGGGGGAGGAATTGGGGGCAAGGGAGTTAAGAAAGTGTGACTTCACATTTTTGTATTATAAAAAAGTAATGTTAGAAAACGAATTTTTAGAGGCTATTTTGCGTTTTAGAAAACTTATTTAAGACTCTTGGGCTTATACTACTGTACTATGGCATAGTAGTGCATTTTTAATCTTGTTGCTATAAACATTTTCCTTAAACCACGAAATGCTTTTAGCCATACAATCAACTCCGTATCGGTGGGTTTTTTTTTAAATCAATTGGACCTGGAATTGAAAGAAACAAATAATAGATAAACCTTGTTTTAAAAAATAAAAACACATAGAATATAGATCTAGGCCCTAATTAATTATCTCATTATTGTCATGGTTTCGTTAAAATTTTAATAGAGATCTAGGCCTAGAAAGGATCACGGGATGGGCCTAATTTTAAAAATATATCTAAGCCCTATTGTGTCATTTATTCATTTCATGTTTTTATGCTGCAGATTAGTTTAGGCGCCCGTTTGATACAAAAATTATTAAAATATAAATCAAGGCCTAAGATTTAAGAAGACTTATTTGACTAAACTAAACTGTTCTTTAGATAAAAAAAATTTACTTGAGTGTAGATTCTAGATCTATACTTATTATTAATTATTAGTTACACTACCAAAATAATTGAAAAGATGCTGTTTGGTAAACATTTTAATAAAATTTATAGACTCTAATTAAATTAAATATAGATCTAGATCTAGAATCTAGATTCTAGATCTAGATTTTCTAGGACCTAGATCTAGATCTAGAATAAAGAATAGGGTAATCTATCGTTTTGGGTACGTAAAATCGCCCGCGGCTATTAATGTACGAAAACGTTACCTCATTGTCAAGGCTGTAATAGAACTTATAGAAGTATATTGTGATATGTTTGTGTCAAATATTATAGATAAATGAATAATAAACCTAAATCAATGGCTAAATATATCAATATAGGCCAGAAATTAACTTTAAACAGCAGTGTCTGGAAGCAAGATTTGCTATATAATATATAAACAGCAGCCATTTATAAAATAGAGTGACTTCCGCCTGAATCTTGCGCTTTAAGTCTATAAAAATAAAACTTTAACAAGATGGCTGCTATAGTAAATGAGCATGGTTGCATCTGTTGGAAACATCGCTAGTCTTCATTTATTACTGAAAAGTTTTAATTCAATTGTTTAAAAACAGGTACATAAATGAAACAAGGAAACATTTTTGTATTTTTAAAACATAAATCCTCCTCAAAATGTGAAATAATTATTAAAATGTAAGGAGTCACCTGTTTTTCACATTACTAGTCGCGGGCGATTTTACGTACCCAAAACGGAAGGGTAATTATCGTTTTAGGTACGTAAAATCGCCCGCGGCTATTAATGTACGAAAAAGTTACCTCATTGTCAAGGCTGTAATAGAAGTATATTGTGATATGAATTATGTTTGTGTCAAATATTATAGATAAATGAATAATAAACCTAAATCAATTGCTAAATATATCAATATCGGCCAGAAATTAACTTTAAAGTTTAAACAGCACTGTCCGCAAGCAAGATTTGCTATATATTAAAGTATATAAACAGCAGCCATTTGTAAAATAGAGTGATTTCCGCCTGAATCTCGTGCTATAAGTCTATAAAAATAAAACTTAAACAAGATGGCTGCTATAGTAAATGAGCATGGTTGCATCTGTTGGAAACATCACTAGTCTTCATTTATTACTGAAAAGTTTTAATTCAATTGTTTAAAAACAGGTACATAAATGAAACAAGGAAACATTTTTGTATTTTTCAATACATAAATCCTCCTCAAAATGTGAAATAATTATGAAATTTTAAGGAGTCACCTGTTTTTCACATTACTAGTCGCGGGCGATTTTACGTACCTAAAACGATAGATTACCAGATCTAGTAATAATAGGATCTAGAATCTATCTAGAGTCTAGATCTCTAATCTAGATCTAGAAAATCTAGTAGGTCTAGCTAGACTAGAGAGTACAGTCCAGTAGAGACTAGATAATTACTAATTAGATATCTAGATCTAGAAAATCTAGATCTAGAACTCTGAATCTAGAATAGATTCTAGATCATCTAATCTAGATCTATTTAGATTTAGTATTTAAATTTTAAATCTATAATATTAAAATTAATTGGTAAAACCGTAGTAGTTTAGCGTCAAAACTAGTAATGTGGGGGAGAGTGAATTATATTTTCGTATATTTTAATAAAATATTATAGATAATTTATTGAATATTGAATATATTATATATCAGAGTTTCTTCCAGGCATCTCTTCGGGGAGGCGAAGCCCCCCCCCCTCCCCCCCAAAATTTTTTTACCGCCCCCCCCCCCCCCCCCCCCAACGAAATGAAATTTATATAATTTATGTAACCCTCAGTCAATGGGGATGCTTTTACCCACTGAGGTGTTGTGGTTAAGACTGGCTGACCCTGAGATTAAGTACACACTGACACCGACAGTTGTTGTCAAGTACTCGCTTTATTTACAGCATCGAGCCATGACGGCGATGCAACACAGCAGTACAAAACAAACTAGCCAAGAAGAAAAATAAACTCCAAATCCAAAACCAAACTGTAGCCCTTCATTAGGTCTACATCTTGGTCACCGTGTCCACAGACAGCAGGCTTGCGTGTGCGACACGGCTAGGCATGAAACTACCCACAGTCCCATGTCACATGACATGGGACACAGGTAACACCGCTCACAAAAGCATGAAAAAAACAACTACGTCCACAGAGCCACAGCCCCACAGGGGCCGCAACTCAATGAATTAAAACTTCATATGTTTATCCCCCTTGGCTGGTAACTATATGTGTTACACAGCCCCCCTCACAAATAAATGTAAAATGGAATTCACATTTACATTTACAACTCATACATAACAGTACTTTAAAAAGTTCAGTACACTAGTACCCAGGCATTAAGTCCTTTCAACTCAAATACATTATTCCCGGCAAACCGGTAGAGGCCCCAGTGCAGGTACTGGTCACCACTTGATGCGCCAGGTTGAGTCGCTCGACGGGTCGTCGTTGACGGGTTGACCTCCGCAGCTCCACTGGTGGTTCTGGGTTGATCCAAGAGTCATCCTCGTCCGATGCCTCGTCCCTCGCATTCACCTCATCCAGATGTGGGGCTGGCCTGACCATCACCTTGTCTTGTCCGTCCCGGGCGACCACCTCTGGCACGAAGGGCATTGCCTCCGGCCGAAGTCTGGTTGGGACCACTACCTTGATTGTCAGTTCCTCACCTTCAGCTGCCTCACTGGTTGGGATGATCTCTCTCAGTCGCTCACCCTCCGCCACAGTGGGTTCAGCACTCGACATTGTATAGTCGGGTCGCTGCCAACCACGGCGGCGTCCACCACGTCGTCGGCCTCTCCTCCGGCGGCGTCTCCGACCTCTGCTTGTGTCATGTCTGTCTCCCAAGCGACGATCTTGCTCGCGCTGAGACTGACATTCATAGTGTGGCTGTCTACCCTCCTCACGCGCACCCTCCGGCTGCAACCCTTCTCCACGGCGGAACACCCGACAGCCGTACCTCCAGCCGCTAGGCGAGGTAACCTGAGCTGTGGTTGCTCGACACTGTGCTGATCTAGGTGGCGTAAACTTGGGCTGGGAGCTTTGCAGAACACACATCAGCATCCGCTCCCCGACGCTGATAGACTGGCATTTCCCCTGCTGCTGACCCCGTTGCCTAGCTGCTTTCCTCGGACAGTCGCGGACGAAGTGCTTCCTGGACCCGCACCCGTAACAAGCTGGAGGGCTGTTGTTTCCGGGCTAGGATAGCTGCTGCCACCTTCTCCGCCAGACGGTCGAGTTGTTCCTCCGTGAGTATCAGCGGTTTCGTCTCTTGGCGAACAGCTGCCGTTAGTGAGTCTACCTGGATAGTCCTGTTAGCTGCTGCCGTGGCTATGACTGGGGACTCAGTTGTCCCGTCCAGCCTTTTAACAGCTTTCAGGACGGACTCCATCTTCGGGCTAGCTTCCCATGCAAACCCGCCCGTGGGTAGAAAGCCGGTGAACTCGTCCTCATCGCTGTGTACTGGAGCACACACCTTCACCGACACGGGCCGCTGCGCACTTGCGTGTTGTAGATCAGCCATCTTATCCCTCAACTTGGCCAGCTCCTGCGACAACTTCTCCAACGTCGGGTCGCTGTTTTCCATCCTACCTCTCAAGGTCAAGCCCCACGTTGGGCGCCAAATGTAACCCTCACTCAGTGGGGATGCTTTTACCCACTGAGGTGTTGTGGTTAAGACGGGCTGACCCTGAGATTAAGTACACACTGACACCGACAGTTGTTGTCAAGTACTCGCTTTATTTACAGCATCGAGCCATGACGGCGATGCAACACAGCAGTACAAAACAAACTAGCCAAGAAGAAAAATAAACTCCAAATCCAAAACCAAAAGCTGTAGCCCTAAAACAAATGTAAATAAAACAAGTTACATTCCTGACAACACCATGTGTAGGCTACAATTTACACGGGTATAATAAAATATGTTTTGGCCAGTACACAGTACTGCCAACAAGTACCAATAAGTAGTACTACAAATAAATACTTATATTAATACTCACCCTAACTAGTGTGCACATGAAGCACTAGCAGGAATACACAAATAAGTATTTTAACAAACATAATTTATATAACTACCTTCATTAGGTCTACATCTTGGTCACCGTGTCCACATACAGCAGCCTTGTGCGTGACTGACACGGCTAGGCATGAAACTACCCACAGTCTTATGTCACATGACATGGAACACAGGTAACATTGCTCACAAAAGCACGGAAAAAACAACTACGTCCACAGAGCCACAGCCCCACAGGGGCCGCAACTCAATGGATTAAAACTTCATATTTTTATCCCCCTTGGCTGGTAACCATATGTGTTACATTTATATAGAAAATATATACTTTTAACAGTGTCCGTCCCCCCCCCCCCCCCCCCCCCCCGAAAAAAGTTTAACCCCCCCCCCCCCGGAGAAAAAAGTCTGGAAGAAACACTGTTATATATCACCACTTAATGCCATTTATTATGGTTAAATCAATTTAAATAATAAATATCCTGAAATTAATTTTTATCAACTCTGATTCAACTTTACTTAGTAAACGACTATTTACTATAACTAAAATATAATGTAATACACCAACTTATCCATAAAGATAAAATAAACAAAGGGCAATATTTCAAATATCCGTATTTCACTTAGCATGGTGCATTTTATCAATCCATGCTAATTATATTAATTATTATTCCAACAATAATTAAATCTAGCATGTCTGCAGAATTTGCATTTGCATTTTTTTATTAGCGTGAGTTAAATTTTTAAAAATTACCTCCCTTGGAAAAATTATAAAAGATTTTAATTAATTAGTTGTTGTTTTTTTTACCCTACTGCGAAATTGTTATTTGACATTGATCCGTTTAATATGCTTTTAGCAATGTGCATGTATTCAATATTTTATTCATTTTATGCAAAAGAGTAAAAACATTGCCAACTAAACAAAAAATGTTAGTTGTTATATAAATAAACTCTACCCATTTAGTTACAATAAGACACTGCGATGCAAGTAAAAAGCACAAGATGCGGTGTGTATACTTACTATTATGGTTCCAAAACACTACCTCTAGCGTTTATTGGTTATTACTAATAACTAATAGCGCCTTCAATTTTTTTTTAAACTAAGCTGGCCTACTTTGCACTTATCTTTCTAATTTCTCTTGATACTTAATTTACACATTTGAATGTCAGCACATACTACATCTCAGCTAGATAAGCTTAGTATATTAATTATATTTACAATATACGATAAATATAACATATTTTCCTTTTTATTCCAATTTTATTTCTTTTTTAAAAAATATGAATAACAACAGATCTATGTCCAATCTAGTTAAGCAATGTAAATCTAACAAATTTACCTATTTTATCATTTTAGCTTCATTGGAAGCAGAAAATACATTTTTCTATGTGCTCTGAATTTATCATTTGTTTCATTCTATATTTCAAATGTTTAGTCTATATGGTGACAATGTTAAATTTTATTATTGATGCATTTTGAACTTGAATTAGGCATACCATTAATCTACATTAACTTTTTATCTTGAAGGCTTAAAATTCAGGTATGAAAATCCAGTTAAGCTCACTGTTCGAACACCTCTGAGGTTAACAAAGGCAGTGTTGGATACAACAGGTAAATTATGAGTTTTTAAAATATAACATTTGATACTAACAACTTAACATTATCTGGTATTCTATTTTTAAAAATTTACTTTCTATTTCAGATGGATCAAATAACGAAAATGAAAGAATCCTTATCTTTGCAAGCAAAGACAATGTTGATAACATTGCCATATGTTCCCTTAGCTGTGTGAACGATAATGATCTCAATCTCCTTCTAACATATGATGAGGAGGTAACCTTTAAACTGGATAAACCAGGTACATATCAGTTATAATCTTTGAACTAGTATGTTATATGGCCCAATATATCATTTTTAAAACAGGTGTTGTAATTATTTTATCTTTATTACTTTATATATATTATTTTAATTTTTTCTCTGCTTAGGTGAAGTTTGGCTTTCTGGGTATTATAAGATGGATGATTTGAACCTAGATGGTGTGTAAAGTTTAATTTTTAAATTTAAAATGTAATAAATCTAATGTAGGCCTCCAATAGTTTTTCTTTAGCTACTAGCAGCCAGGGGTGAACTGGTCTACTGGGAAAAATCCTGTTGGGGTGGGCACCCTGGAATTGTGGTATTAGTCCAATTTTACTCTTCCTCACACCAAAGTGTAAAATTCAGGCCTCATTGAAGAAAAAAAAGTACAATGATGATTTCAATCTGGCTTTGGGAGCCTCTTAAAATTTACCAGTTCTCTTTGACTCCACATAGCCAGTCCATCCCTGCTCGAAGCATATACTGGTGGTAGTGCCTGGGTTGTGTCTGCAGAAATATAAAATATTCAGATCTTGGATTTAAAAATTATTTTTTTTTGAAATCTAGAACATTTTTTATTTTAGAAACTTTTAAAACTATTTAATTAAAACTATTTAATTTTTTAAATTCTTTATCCTTATTTATTTTAAATTTTAGGGTGATAAATACTGACATATCGAGTTTATTTTAATTAAAAATAGATAGTTTTACTAAAACTTATTATGAACACCTTGCGTAATGTAATTTTCATGTAATTTGGCCAGAAATTCCTACCACAATAGTCCACTAGTGTGGCACAAATGCTTAAAACCATTTTAGGCATTTACATCTTTATATACCAAATATAGTCTGCATGTCACAACTTTTTGCATTTTCAATTAGATTTCAACTCATTTTTTAAAAACCATTAGAATTAGACTCCTAAAAGATATTTTTTATTTACACAGAAAATTATTCAAATTTTATGTTTATAAATCATTTTAAAGTGGTAAATCAAATGTTTTATATAAAACATTACACACTGTCCTCAGAGTTTGAGCCTGCACTGGAAACTATTCTTGAGAAAAAAACAGTATGTATGCTAATATATATATATATATCATTTTTTTAATAAGTTTATTGTTGAAAAATGCATTGTTATTTTGATTGCCATAGCCATTATTGAAGTAAAAATGTTTTTGGTGTTCAGACAGTAAGGGGCATGGGCTAAAGTAACTTTATCAGCTTTGATCTACGTTACTAATGAAGTGGTGCTATTTATTATTGTCAACTACATTTGGGTTTTTTTATTAGTTGTTCTGATACCCTTGGTTTTATGCAAATTATTTTCATTGCAATGTCTTTTTTTGTTATTAAATATTATAATTTGTTTCAATTTGAGATATTTAAATGCAATTTTTTTCCTTAGGAAGGAGGTGATAACTAGCTGGCTAAATTGCCAAGTCAGGTGTAAGTACTATTTAGTTATTTTTTATGTTGTTAATTTATTTAGTCATAAAGTTGGCTGTTACTGTTTTAGCTTTTAATTTTTTCTTTCTTTTTAGGCATTGGGGCTGCTGAATGGGAGAAGAGGTCTAATAACCAATGTTGTAATTTTTAACAGGTTTTTTAGAGAAAATTGTTACCCAATCATTGTTTAGTCTGTAATAAAAATTGTGCTGAGCTTGTTTTACATAAACAATGTTATTAGTTGCAAGTCTTTCAGATAGATTGTTTCTTCTAAGGACACTTGTTGAGTCTAGTGGTTGTGAATGATTGTGTATAAAGAGTTAATTAAATGCATTAAAATTTCTCTACCTCGAATTTGAATATATTTTTTTCATCTTTTGTTTTGCCTCAGCTTGTTAACTGGTCTTTACTAAGATTAGCATTTTTCCTATTCAGCACTAGCATAGTACTTTTAAAGGGTTCCAGTGTTTTTAAATGGTCTAAAAGTTGTTGTTTTTTTTAAATATCAAGAGAGGATGGCATGGTTGATTGGTAGAGCGCACCACTGCTAGCTAAAGTCTGAAGTTCAGATCCCAGAATGTACCTGAGACGCCTAACTCTGACATTCGTGAAAGTAAATGCAGCTCGGCATAAAACTGACCACACTTTATATGCCAAGGTCACAGAAACTCTAATTTTGACTGCCAGGCCTGAAAGTTCAATTTTAAAGGCTACATAAAATCATTTTTATGCTCCACTAAAACATTTTCAGTAATTGTTCTTCATGCAAAAATACAACTTTTGTCATGAGGGAATTGTGATGGCTTTCATAAAAAAAAGTATTTGGTAATTAATTTGCAAATTTTGAATTCTAAAAAGGGTACGGTACACGTCGTGACAAAAGTTTTAATATATACTAAAATATAAGCAGTTTAAATTTGATTGCTATAAGTGCACAAATAAAAAAAGCCATAGCATTTTTAAAAGTACCAAAAAATTCAAAATGGCTGAGGGGTTTTACCCTTTTTTACTGTTTAATACTTACTTTCATGTGCCAAATATGGTAATAGTATTCAAAAGGCTTTAGATTTTAAATTACAAAAATAGAAAAAAACGGCCCATGACCCCTTAATAATAGTTAAAACATGGGACAGCTTGGTCATATTGAAATATAGTTAATCTAGTCTTCTGGGTACCATACTTGCATTAGGTAAAGAAAGGCAGCTCAGTATAATGCCAATCACACCATCTCCCTTCATTAAGATGCATTTGTTGGCCAGATAAACCATTGACCATAAACAACACAAGTCATACAAAAGAATTACTAATGTTGGTCAACATTAATTTATTTAGAATAAAATGTCAAATGTAACACAAATAAGATACAACTCAATATAAACTGTTGACCCATGTGATGTACAATGAAATGAAATATCCTTGTAATTGATAAATAAAATTTTGGTAAAATATTATGATTTATTTACCCATTCATTAACTGGTGAATAACAAATATATAAACATGTTTACTAAGCACTTAGTTGAAGATTAAAATTTGCTATCAATGATTATTAACCTGAAACCAAGATAAACTTTGAGCACGTAGCATTTTTAAACATTGCACATTTTTAAAAATTTAACATCTTAGTCTTAATTAATGATTTAACACATATAGTACCAAAAAAAAAGGAAAGAATTTTAATTCTGTTAAAGAATACAATTCATTTTGTTGATATTTTGAAAAGTAAAATTTGCTCTAAACTTTCAAGAGATATGGCTGCAAGCTAAAAATACTGATGGTGCTGGAATTTCCTAGTGTTTATGGATTTATGAGATCATCTTTCCCAGAATATATACTCTATGAAAAATAATTAACTTCAATGCTGCTTTAGAACTAAACAGACTAATGGCTCAGAGGAAAGGAGATTCTAAAATAAACTTTTTTGCTTAAAAAGCAAACAGAAATCTGTTACAGTTAAAAAAAAATTGTAATACGTAATAATATATACAGAGCTGCTCTTGAACAAGTTTAGATCTGTTATCTTCCCTATAACATAGATCCAGGGTCTAGCATCAATCACATTATCTGTGGAAACACGTCCAAAAATCACAACCAAACTTACTGAAAGACCATCTAGCGCACACAATCACAGAACAATTATACATTGGAAAGGGAATGACATAGTTACAGCTTCTCCGCCTCTAAGCAATGTTTCATATTTGGCAGTAAACAAGTAAAACATGATATGTTAACAGGAATATACTAATGTATCACATATTATTAAGGACAGCTTAAACCCCATAATTGATATTTAGTAATTAGACTTACTTTACCTAGTTAAAAATAATGTAGGGTGATGACGAAACCATAAGAAAACCAATTCTTGCTCGCAAGTATTTGTATACATTCATTTTTAGATAAAAATCAAGTCTTGAAATTTGATGAAAAAAAAAACAGACTTGTTCTTGTACAGAATATAAAAAAAACTAACTAAGATGTTAAAATAAAACTGAGCCCCAAAATTACTTATTCCCTAAAAAAATTTAAGTTGGCATATCAAAGTTTCCTTTTTTTAAAAAATACATTTTTTTAGTCACAGGGCTGATAATTAACAAGTGCTGGGTCCGAGAAAAAATTGTTTAAAAAATGCTATGACTAAATTTTTTTATGGAAGTATACACCATTTATAAGCAAAAAGGGTTTCCTGTGATATTTTCACCACCCGACTTGATTTAAAATAAGTTAAGTAAGTCTAATTTCAAAAAGTTAAATTATCGGGTTTATATTAAGCTGTCGTTAAAGAAATATGTGTGATAAATTATACTTTTAGCAGATTATTTTGAAAAAGCCATTTGAATTAACAGTTATTTTTGACTTAATGTTTTTTTTAAAAATTGAATCAAATCTTAGCATTTCTTATTTAGGCACAATTTAAAACAAAGGATGTATACTGTTAAAATGATAAAATCATTCACCAGTTTGTATTGAAACCATTCTACAAACATACCTACAACAATAATTACAGCAATATGATTATTAAAACAATTATATATCAACATACAAAAACACTAAACCATTGCTTGACTACATAATTAATTTTTGAGAAAAATCAATTCTATAGAACACAATGCATATTGTTTATAACCTAAGACAAGAAATGTGTCATCTACCATTATTACAAACAATCAATAAATTAAAGACCCTGTTTTATAGTTGACCATGCTCATTTGGAGAAAAAGATTGTAAGAAGATAAATTTGTGGCATTCACATGAACACAGTATAATGGTGAAATGGGACGGATTCAACACCAAAAGGTATTGAACAGAAAAAACAAAAAAAAACCTGAGCATTATTTACAGTTTGGTTTCTTACACGTTTTGCCTAAAAAAATGGATGGAGTTTTTAACTTTTTATATATACAGTAGACAGCCAAGACATAATTCTTAAGCTAGTTAATACTGAGCATTTATAAATGAGTCTTCTCAAAAAGTTCAAGTTAATAGTTAGCCTTGATTGTTCACACTTTGCTAGCTTACTCAACATTTAACAAAGAGCAAATCAAGATACAAAGTCATTATCAAACTTTAGGCAATGTGCAACAGATTTGATTATCATTAAGTTCACTTCTTAATTACTGGCCTTAAGATATTTTGTTGTTTTTTTAGCTCCAGAACCAAATAATAATAATGCTCTTTCTTTTACAAGTGAATAAAAAAAATAAGAGTGAAAAAGACAAAATGGATACTTTACAAGTGAAAATGATTAACTACCATTTCAACAATACAAATAGGGATATGTAAATATATAGCAGAGATACATTGAGAAAAAAAAATTAAGAAGTATGCAGATCAGAAGGAAGGTAGACATTTTAAAACAAAAACAGCATGTACTCAAATTTAAGACAGATATATTCTGTTGGAAAATTAAATTCACGTTTTTAAAAACCAGTGTAGAAAAAGTAAGTTATTTTAAATGACTGGGCACATTGACAGCTTTCACTAAAGCATGCTGTTGCCAAACTAAACAGTCATACAAGTAAGGAGTGGGGGAGGGGAAAACATTTATGATGTAGTAAACAAATATAACCACTCTGTTCTACAATGTTTTACAAACAATAACATTGAGATCTGCAGCAGATAGACCAGACTTTTTAGCTTGCTCAAATCCAATGCCAACTAGCATTATCTTGAAGGTTAACAATTAAAAGGTGGAGTTGTAATTATGATAAAAGAAGAAAAATGGCTGTCTTATCATTAAAAGCAAACATTTAAATCTAGAAGTATAATTTGTCATGAATGCAACAGTTTAATACAGAATGGCATGGAGTTGTCAACATTAATAAGGCAATGTTTTTAATTGTCGTAAGTCAGTAACACATCAAAAAATGTACAGAACATGCATGGAAATAATAGCAATGCATGATGAGTTATATCCCAATCAACAAACCAATACAAAGCAAAATGTTACAAAAGTATTGTATTTTACTCAACAGCTTAAACTAGTACTAAGGTTTACTCTAGATCTAAAAACCATAAGGATAAAACTTCAATGACAGTCTAATTGGGCACACTGTCAAGAAATTAACACTGTCAAATATTAGCAGCCTGAGAACATTGAACTTTAACCTGCTAAGTTATAATGGCGCAGAAGGACTCGAGTTTGACTCATGAGATGTCCCATCACTGTAGAGATCCTGGTCATCTGACAGGGCCTGGTATGGCAGGTCTGTAGGATAGTGGCTGTGGGAGATGGCGTGCCTCATACCTGTAGGAATCATGCTGGGGTGGTAGAGGGCATGACGTTTGGCGTGCTTCTTTAGGTGGTCACTGCGCATAAATCTTTTCTCACACATGGGACATTTGAAATTCTTTTCCCCTGTGGAGACATTAACAGAACTTTAGGAAAAGTGTTGAGACAAGTATTTAGTATTAACATCCAGTTTTAATTCTTATGCTAAGTTGAATAAGTTACACCAGAGATACATATGAAGACGGTGTGGTCAGCTCTATGCCCAGTAGTCTTTACTTTCCCTAACACGAGTCAGGTACCAAACAGAGCTGGAGCCCTGGTCTTGAACTCAAGACATTCTCAGGGTAGTAATAATATGCTCTACTATCTAACCACGCAGTCTCTATGATTCCTTTAAAGACTGTTATTATAAGATTTAAGAGTATATATTGTTTCAAAATATTACCTGTATGTGTTCTTTTGTGACGTGTCAACTCATCAGATCTGGCAAACCTTTTTTCACAACCATCCCAATTACACTCAAATGGGCGCTCTCCTGTTTGAAAAAAGAATAAAGATCAAGCTTTTAACTAAGACAACTGTGTTGAAGAGTAAAATACTGCAATAGAGTGGATAGATTGAATGCTACAAATAGAGCTGCAACAAACACATGGGTGGGGTTGACACACCAGTGGAACATAGTTGGGTTGAAAGAATAAACTGATGCTGAATTGAATGAATGAAATATGGACAATCAAACTATTTGGAAAAGAAAACCATATAGATCTAGAAAAAGCTCAAAATGTAAAAAAAAAAAAAATTGACTGTCAGAGGGAAAGCAGTATAATCTTGTATGAGAAAAAATCTATAACAGGAAAAAATTCAAAATGAAACTTAAAGTTTAAAAAAATTTAAGTGACTTAAACCCAGAAACAGTAAAAAAAAAAAAAAACTAAGAGAAATTCAAAAAGAAAACCCATAAAGAGCTGAGTCCAACAATATACCAAAACAAATTTAACTTTAAGAGTGATAAGAAAGAAAAGCAGACTATATATTTTTATAACAGGTCTAAATAGGTCAAAGGGGAGAGAACTCTAACAGAGACCTAACATAATCATCTCAGGCAAGAGAGTAAACCAACAAAGACAAACTGCTTCTGTGCTGTTACTATTTATAGAGCCAGGTAAGACTAGCTGGTAAAGCAGCTGATTTGAATACAAGTGGGCAAATGGGCTCATGGAAGATTTACAAATGGTGGCACAGCTGCCTTGCGCTCCACTTATAAAGAAAGAAATGGAAATACATTCTCATAATAAAAGAACAAACTTGTTTTGTAATGAACCTTGTGTAGACACAATCCCCAACTTATAAATTTAATTTGCTACAAAATTTAAATCTAAATAAAGATAATATGGGATAATTAAATTAAATTACCATAAATATAGGTAACTAAAGTAATTTATTTATTTATCAACAGCATAGCCATTTGAAAATTATTCAAAGAAATTTCTAAAGTTCACAATTTATTCATTTAGGGCCCACATATAATAAACAGTTAAATACAAGAGCAAATTGTGATTGTTAAAACTGATGTGATAAAGTAATCATTGGTGACAAATGAAAAAAAAGAAGAGAAAACCATATCAATATGCAAGTCTCTGATTATACTTGTACAGTTTGTTTTACATGGATAAGGTCGACATACTATACTTTTTTTTTTACTATATCACTCTCATCAATGAACTAAGTCAAAGGCCGCCGGCATGACTGCCTACATGCAACAAGGCAGAACATCAAAGAGAAGAGACTATGCTAGTTGCTACATAAGGTAAACAATCAGGACCATGCAATTGGAGATGAACATGGAAATATGGGTCATTTTTTGTCCGGCTTAGCCCGCTTTATGTCAACAAGGTGAGACAAGCATCCAAGGACTGAGTCATAAGACATAGGCAGCATTGCCAATAAGCAATAAGGTGAGATGCTAGGAATTGGCGGAAAAGCGCAGTGTAAGAGAATAAAGTAGGCCTATAGTAAATTATTAACATGACATGACTGATTTAAGATCTTTCACCAAACTTGCCACTCAGTCTTAATTAAGTCCAGTCAGGTCTATTTAATAATGTATCAAAAAATATTTTCATCTTTAACTTTAAAGCAACACTTCTAATGGCATACACCAATCTGCCATGGATTCAAAGGGACAACAAAATATCGTCCAAAATGGTTTATGCTTAGAGTTAGACCTAAGAATGTAATTCTTTATTTTTATAATTAGGCATAGGATAAGCAGCCTAATTAACTAACTAATAGTTTAAGCTTTTAGGCCTACTGTCTATAGACCCCTAGATCTAAGTGAAAATTGTTGATAACAATTCTTTTTGCTAGATAATGTTTTTAATAGCCCCCTGATCCTATAATTAGTATAATTTATACAACAAGCCTAATTATTCAATCATATTTACTATTTAGATCTAGATCTAGACTACACTAGATCTAATCTACTAATTTTAAATTTTTGCCTAGGGCCTAAGACACTTTAAGTAAAACTAACATTACAATTAGGCTACTAAACCCAATGTGTAAATCTGATTAGTAGTAGTAGAAAAACTCAAAGCTGTTGGCACTTGTAAAGTTACATATGAGTTACTATAAAACAAAGTAAGAGATATCACATATTTCAATCTTGGCCAACGCCCACTTTAAGTTTTCACTTGACTTTCAACAGCTGGTCTCTTGAAAGTGGAGTAACAGTAAAGAAAAAAGTTGATGACCAGCGCTAAACCCCATTTTTTAAAATCTAGATCTAGTGTTGATTTTTACTTGAATAATAAATAACCAACAATCTAAAGACGAAAAAAATAATATATTCTAGTCGCGTTGTTTTATAAAACGAAGATAGAAAACAATGGAGGAGTATCAACAAGACAGCTGTAGCGGGGCATGCGTAACTGTAACTACTGTGTAGCCCAACGTGAAACCAAACAAAGAAAATGGCGCGCCTGACGAAAAAAGGCAGAACAGACGTCAAATAACTATACTATACTGAATTACCTGTATGCGTTCTGATGTGAGATTTTAAATGAGAACTTTTATTGTACGATTTTCCACACCCTGAATAAGGACAAGTATGAATTTTTTTCCCGTGAATGCTGTTGGCCTTAATTAATGCGTCTTCCATAAGTCTTCGGTCCAGAGTAGGCGTGGTCGATCCGTTTTTCGAAGCCGAAGTGTTTTCATACGATCCGATAGAACTCGGCCTAGAGACAGAAATATTAAAATCTTCATGGTAGTTATTGTCTTGTTTTATTGTTTTAAGATCAGTCAATATTCGTGCAACTAAATTTGCACTCAAACAATCACCAACAGGCAAAAAGTCTGATCGACAATCTGAGTGTCCTTGATTATCTTCGTAGCATTCTTGTTTTATTTCATCGTTCCCGATGTTGGTTTCACAAATCGGTGGATCGCACGTCAACACATACGTATGATCATTCTGTCTGTTTGACATCGCTAATAAACACTGTGCTGCCATCCTAGTATCTGTATCCAGTTCAAAGTTTATTGTATTTTCTCTGAGTGCCATTATGACAAAATTGGCTCTGGGGTTCATCGTGTGTGCGATCGAACACAGAAATCAACTCTCAACTCAACTAGCCTTGTTGACTACGCTTGCTATGTTTAATGCGCAGCTAATCTTATGTAATACAAAATCCAGCACATTTCTTCATTATCGTATCCGTGAAATTAAAAAAATGGAGTAACAGTAAAAAAAAATCACAGAACTAGATCTACGACTAACACAACACAGTTTACGTTCGTTGCTGGCTAGTCTACCGCGTGTTTGCCTGTAGTGGGCGTGGACCATCGAAACGGTAGAAACAGGAAGTGATCATGAACTTTTTTTTCCTGCTCAGCAATTGGTGTTTATAAATAGATTTTTGTTTGACCTTCGCTTTTAAAAAGTAAAAGGAATGCCCCAAATGAAGCTTAGGGGTCGCCAAATTGTTTTTAGGTAGATCTAGCTAGATCTAGACTACATTTTCTAAAGTTAAAATGCGAATTTAAAATATTATATAATCGATTTCTTTCAAAACAAGCCTGCATGCATATTTTTACGAAATGCGTGATGTTATGACTTGATGAATGAGTGGCATATAAATATAATAATAATATAAATGAATTATTTATATAGGCCCTATATATATATATATATATATATATATATATATATATATATATATATATATATATATATATATATATATATATATATATATTCCTTTACCTATATGGATATAGATATTATATAATTTAATATATAAGCTTATATATAAGCTTATATCTTAACTAGCCGTCCCGGCCAGGCCCTGCTCTGGCTTCTGTGAAAAACCTTTCTGTTAAGACCATTACCTGTGTGTTTAGTAATCATCATAAACCCGGCATTGCCCACCCAAACCACAACCAACCAAAACCAAAACAACAAAACGCAAACATAACGCTAACACAATTACAAATACAAACGAAAACAAAAACCTAACAACAAACCCAACCACAAACACCAATACCAACAAAAAAAAAATCAACGAAAAAAGCAAACGAAAACAAACCAAATCCAAACGCAAAACCAACCAAAAACACAAATACAAACCCAAACAAAAAAAACACAAACAAAAACGAAAAAAGAAAGAACAAAAACGAACCAAATTAAAACGCAACCAGTAACGCAAACCCACCTAAACACAAAGAAAACACTAACGCGAACATAAACGCCCGGGGCGGAATCACCTGTTTTAGCTTAATGAACGACTATAGTACCCCAACTTATTCACAGTCTTTTGCACTCACTTAAACGAACGCGCCTGTTTCAATTTAATAAACAATTTTAATACTCCAAGCTTATCCGTAAAATACCTACAACATTTGCACTTGATCAATCCCCGCTAATTATGTAATTATTTTTTTTCCCAACACCAAAACAAAGTAATTAAAAAGTAAATTATTTTCACGGAATGCAATGGTTTTATAAAGGGAAGTAATTGTGTTTTTCCTAATTTATCAAAGGGAAGTAAGTGCTATAGGACTAAATAAAGACATAATTAGAATTTTTGTAAAAGATGATATTTTTTTTAAAACTTGTGTTTAATGAACATGCCGACAATTATTACTATAATTTGAAAAATGAAAATTATTTCCCAACACTTTCAACAGTAATTTTTTAGCTCATAAATTTAGACAAATGCGCACGATAATTTTCTAACACTTAAATTCGTACAATTCCAAGGACATACAAATGCATTACATACAGAACTGAGCTTTATATATTAGACTAGCCGTCCCGGCCAGGCCCTGCTCTGGCTTCTGTGAAAAACCTTCCTGTTAAAGACCATTACCTGTGTGTTTAGTAATTATCATAAACCCGGCATTGCCCACCCAAACCACAACCAACCAAAACCAAAACAACAAAACGCAAACATAACGCTAACACAATTACAAATACAAACGAAAACAAAAACCTAACAACAAACCCAACCACAACCACAAACACCAATACAAACACAAAGAAAAAACAAACAAAAAAGCAAACGAAAACAAAAACCTAACAACAAACCCAACCACAAACACCAATACCAACAAAAAAAAAAACAACAACGAAAAAGCAAACGAAAACAAACCAAATTCAAACGCAAAACCAACCAAAAACACAAATACAAACCCAAAAAAAAAAAACACAAACAAAAACGAAAAAAGAAAGAACAAAAACGAACCAAATCAAAACGCAACCACTAACGCAAACCCACCTAAACACAAAGAAAACACTAACGCGAACATAAACGCCCGGGGCGGAATCACCTGTTTTAGCTTAATGAACGACTATAGTACCCCAACTTATTCATAGTCTTTTGCACTCACTTAAACGAACGCGCCTGTTTCAATTTGATGAACAATTTTAATACTCCAAGCTTATCCGTAAAATACCTACAACATTTGCACTTGATCAATCCCCGCTAATTATGTAATTATTTTTTTTCCCAACACCAAAACAAAGTAATTAAAAAGTAAATTATTTTCACGGAATGCAATGGGTTTATAAAGGGAAGTAATTGTGTTTTTCCTAATTTATCAAAGGGAAGTAAGTGCTATAGGACTAAATAAAGACATAATTAGAATTTTTGTAAAAGATGATATTTTTTTTAAAACTTGTGTTTAATGAACATGCCGACAATTATTACTGTAATTTGAAAAATGAAAATTATTTCCCAACACTTTCAATAGTAATTTTTAGCTCATAAATTTAGACAAATGCGCACGATAATTTTCTAACACTTAAATTCGTACAATTCCAACGATATACAAATGCATTACATACAGAACTGAGCTTTATATATTAGATAATAAACAAACCTTATACTAGTGCGCACTATATGGGTGCCCATGACATCAGAAACAAGTTTCCCATGAGTGGTGAACAATGTTGTCGCTCGCTGTCAATCATCAGTATTGCATTGATGAAGCATTTTATTTCATTATTTAATAAATCACTATAGGACGGCGTGGTCTAGGAGAGCTAGACTGACTCGAGTTCGTATTGGGATCAAGTCAGTATAACGTCCCAGAGCCCACCCAGATCTGATGGGTACCTGACTCATGTTAGGGAAAGCAAAGGCGACTGGGCATAGCGCTGACCACACTATCGCAATGCGGTCTTTGAAACAGTTAAACTCTACTTCATCTGCCCCGTGTGTCTTGGGCACGAACGGGAAAAGATGATGATTTAAATCTCTAGCTTTTATTACCGGTACAAGAAATATGTAGCTTCTTATCAAGACTACACGCATGGAAACCTTTCCTATATTATGTAGCCTACATTTAGGTTGATGTTATTTCTTTAGAGGTCGATTACAGTTAACTAAGTCTGTAAAGCCACGAATCAGTGTATCTTCTTAGCTTTGAAACGTGTATAAATTAGTAATACAGCTCTACTAGAGCTTTTCTATCCTTTTTGGCGCCCCATTAAGTTCGCCACCCCACCCGCCCTCCTTTTGATGTGCTTCTGCGCGGAGCCTAGGTCTGACCAGAGTTTCTTCCAGGCATCTCTTCGATTGTTGTGAAGCCGTAAACAAAACAAAAAAACATGTAGGCATAAAGTTTTTTAAGCGAATTGTTTTAACGACCGTGACTATTTGACTCAATACTTAGCCAAATGACATATTTTTTTCGGTTAAAATTTGATTTTTAAAAGCTTGGGGTCAGTTCAAGAGCGAAATCTAGGTTAACCAAGTTATTCCCCCCCCCCCCCCCCCCATTTCTTTTGTTTGTTTTGTTCGATTTTTCTAAGCTTGCACCTGTAAAGGCAAATAAAATAATCACTCAATTTAAGTCAAAACAAACAAATTGACCATTAATTATATAACAAAAATTAATTTAACATAAAATAAAGTAAACACGAAATTAGTGACAGTCCTAATAAAAAATAAACGATAGTTCTTGACAACCAAAGGAGATAACTGGACAAATAAGATACAACCGTGACCTAAGTTTCATGCACGGTTACCCCCCTTTAAAAAATGCTACAGGGACAGTTTGACACAAAAGGGAGTTAGATGCAGTGGCGTAGCGAGGTCGGGTGTCACCCGGTGCGGCACTTAATGGTGTCACCCCCCCCTCCCCCCAGAGGCGTAGCGACCCTTCCCGGGGACAAACTTTCAAATTTTCGATTTGCACCCCCCCTCAAACTTTCGATTTGCACACCCCCCCCCCCCTCAAACTTTCGATTTGCACCCCCCCCCCCCCCACCGAACTTTCGATTTGCACCCCCCTGAAGTTTTTCTATATATATTTTACTATTTTTTGCCATAATGTCATCCGGTGCGGTCCGCACCCCCCCCCCCCTCGCTACGCCTCTGGTTAGATGGCCCAACGAGAGGACAAGAATATGAAGAAAAAAAATTCGACGTAATCATCAATGCCTACTGTCTTACACAAACTTTGCTCATGCGAACTTAACGGCTAATAATATTTGAAAAGTGCTTAAGGTTACGAGCAGTAACTTAAGCTCCGAATCACGAATCCTTTTCTCGCTCATCTAGTATCATCTGGGGGGAGCTCGGGCCCGCCGAAGAGATGCCTGGAAGAAACCAACGAGCGCGTGCGTGTAAACAATAAACTAGCAGTGAAGTCGCTTACGGCACGGACGTGTGCTACTACGTCTGTGTTACGATCTCGCGATTAGTCCAAGTTAATTCTGTCATCTTAGTTCAATCAATAATTCACATTGTACGAAACAAAATTTCTTTAAGCTGTGTAGTGTGTCCTGTGTGTTTGAAATTAATTGAATTCTTAAAATGCTCTCATTTTCCATGCCGTTATCTCAACGAAAATGATACTTCGGTGTATGAAACTTAAGTGCTATCTTTCATAACGACATAGATGGTGAACGTTGATATAAAGGGCGTTAACTCGAGTGGGATTAAAATTGTAAAAATCATAGCCTTAATTTGTCCGCACTCTATTTTTATCAGCATCAGGTTGAATAATAAGTAGGCATGGATGTAAATAAGTGTTGCTGGATTTGTTCAAAGTATCTTATACTTTGAGCCTGGCGTCTGTAACCGAATCACAAGTAGACCTGCCTGTTTTTTATTTGTTTTTTTTTTGGGGGGGGTGTATTATGTTTGAAATCCAATTATATTCTTTGTCTGGGATGGGTTTTTTTTTTCTATCTAAGATAGGAGCAACCTCTGTTTTTATGATAATTTAAGACACGACACGATCTATATCTACCTGCGATTTT